TTTGCTGAATCACAGACACCAGTCGCTCGAAACCCATTCCTGTGTCCACGTGTTTCTTAGGCAATGGTTTGAGTGAACCATCGGTTTCTCGATTGAATTGAATGAACACCAGATTCCAGATTTCAATCACATTCGGGTCGTCCATATTGACCAGCGATGCGGCATCTCTGCCACCGATGCGGTCGAAGTGTATCTCAGAACAGGGACCACACGGACCTGTTTCGCCCATTTCCCAGAAATTGTCTTTCATTCCAAAGGGCAGCACTCGCTCTGATGGCAGCCCTAAGTCCAGCCAAGTCTGGCGACACTCCTCGTCAGCCTCTAAGCCACTGTCGGCGTTACCACCAAAATAGGTCACATATAGTCTGTCTTTCGACAGGCCATACACTTGTGTCAAGAGCTCGAAAGCCCAGCAGCAGATCTCCTTCTTGAAGAAGTCTCCGAAAGACCAGTTGCCCAGCATTTCAAAGAACGTGTGGTGATAGACATCTTTGCCGACGTCATCCAAGTCGTTGTGTTTACCGCCGGCGCGGATACACTTCTGGGTGTTCACCACTCGTCGGTATTTCGAGGAATCACTGTTCGGGTCAACGGTTCCCAAGAATATGGGCTTAAACTGCAGATAAATATTTAATAAAATAAGTTGTCATGAGTTTTTTGAGGTATTGATGGGCGAAGACCTGATTCATCCCCGCGTTGGCGAACAGTAGAGTCGGGTCTTCGTGTGGTATAACCGACGAGGACTTGACGTACGAATGACTGTATTTGTCTTTAAAGAAGTCGATGAATGTCTGGCGGACGGCCTGAGCGGACATTGCGTTGGAAGCCATTATGGGATCAAATCAACTGATATTGACAGCGAAGACACAAACAATGGATTAATTAAGAGAAATACAAACGAAATGCTATTTTATATGAAATGCAAAACAAATGGATTTCAAAATATGTGTGAAATTAGACTAAAGTTATGATGAAATATGTGTTGAATATGTGATCAACTCTTGAGACATACCATACGTGTGTCTCATATGGTGTTTACCTGTGCTTTCAGTGCAGTCTTCGTACTGACGGATCAAATATCGTCGACAACTGATTATCGGCTAATCTATTGAGACGATTGTCACAGAAANAGTCTTCGTACTGACGGATCAAATATCGTCGACAACTGATTATCGGCTAATCTATTGAGACGATTGTCACAGAAATCCAATGAAACGATAATTCACTGAAACCTCACTTTTGAGACCAAAATCAATGAATGAGTGGTTCTTTGAATGAAAAAGTTTTCATTGAAAACACGTTTACTATAAAAATGTGTTTACGTTTACGACTCAGACATACGGTTCATACAAATTACGTAACATTTGTCTCAATAGTAGGCAAACAATGCACTCGTTATTGCAATGTTGCATAACTTTTATAATACTGTATAATCAAAATAGTTTTTTAAAAGTTATTCACTATAATATTTTGTTCAATACTTTTTGAACACTTCAAGGATAACTAAATTTTTATTGATATCTATATATTAGTGTAAAATTTAAAATCATTTCATTAACTTTTTATCAATTTGGATGTCTTATACAACACATACCTGTTTGGTCGTCGCATGTGATGTCTAACCATCGGAACCTCTTCGCGATCATCGGATGATGTGGTTGTGGCTGATGGTGATGAGGGTCTCTGAGAGGTGCGTTGACCACCGGAAGGGCGCCGATATTTGGTGGGATAGTTGACTGGAGTTTGCACTAAAGACAGGGGTTTCGAGAGGTTGAGGCTTCGGTTATGCCATGCGATGGGTGTCCGACAGTTGGACTGGGATTGGAGTCCGTGTGGATGTGCTTGTGATGAGTCTGTCTTGTGCTCAACGAATGCCAAATAATTACTATTGAAGTGATTGTAAGCATTACTGGTATTGATGGACGACTTCATCGTTGAACACAATTATAAATAACTTTTTGACAATTTATTTGAACATAACTTTTGGGAAATTAGTTAACATCGGAAATGTGTCTCAAAGACAGAGCGCAGGTATATTAAAATGTAATTCATTATCAGTTGAGTATCATTTCCAAACCAATGACAGCATAACGAGTGAAAAGTTATTGAAATAAGTTTGTAATCAAATGTAAGCTCCGGTGGCAAACGAGTGACACTTTATGACACTCTCTCACAGTCTTCAGTCTTCTCTCTTTCTGGCGAAGAATAAATCACTGGTTATGAGAGCAATGCTGGCAATCATTATCATAGGGTATAGCAGATTATAAGCACAGGTATGTTAGGCACTGTTGTGTGACATAACAGGTCGTTGTGTGAGTTTACGTCGTGATCACTAAAAACAAGATCCACAGCACAGGTATCCGTCGACGAGAACCAAATGTTGAACAAAATTATATAAACTTCTAGTTTTATGCAGACATTAGACTATAGTATAGTTTTGCTGTTTATTTCAGTCAATGACCCGCTCTTCAGACAAACCTTTTTGTTGGCTTCCAGTGAAGGCCATCACAGGACTTACCTGTAGTGCAATTCACCTGTAATTGTATTAATACTTGCAGTAATGTTAAGGTAATACAGAGTACTCTATACTGTACTCAACATTTTGTCACCATTTCTGTGTTAACCAGAAACTGCTCACTATTTGTCTCACCTGTCCGTCCCATTCGGCACTCATATCTTAAACACTCATCCATTTGTGACAATTGATGTCTCAAATTGACATTTCGCTTCATTTCATAAATCCACATAAAATTACTTTTTAATCAATATCTCAACCATTTTCACTTATTTCTAATAACTTCTCACTTTTCATTAAAAATATTTATTTAGTTAACAAACTTTTTTGATAAGGAAAAGTTATTGGATTTCGATGACCGAGGATATAATGACTTTTTGATTTGTATTAATGTGTTTTAAAGTGAAAAACATTTATTGCATACAAAACAGCAATTAATGTGAATTAAAATAATTTTGTTGTCTAATCACAGGAATCTTATCTATAATTTTCAGTAGTTTTCCTAATCATTAAATTAAACAAATAATAACCGAAAAAAGTATATAATTTTCTTTTGGTTCAACTTCAGATCTGATAATATTTTTGTTACTTTATGCATGAATTTGTCAAATTTGTGATACCCCTCATAATTATCATTCAAAACCCATTAAAATTGTTTTTTATACAAAATAATTGCGAAGACTTAACCAAAACGTTAACTCAATATTTTGCGGTTCAATGAATCCATCAAAACATCAAATGTTGAAACTAACGATTGAATTCTTGTATAACTTATACGACTTTCCCTTATAGTATAAGACTTAAATTATGCGGTTATATCACAAGTTTCAAGACTTTTGGTTCAATTATTTTGCTTTTGATTACATTTTGTCACAATATTTGACTCAATATATACTGTAAAAACCAATGATTATTCTCTTCTATACTTAAGTTAAGTACAACTTTGTTGGACACGATTAAGCCGTTTCCACTTTTTTATATCAATCACACTGTATATCAACTATAGTTTTTTGCTAAGATTATTTTCCCAAACATTTGCATGAATTTTTGGTTAAAAAACTTTTTTTTTTATAGATAAGCACTGTATATATACTGGTATATTGTGTCGGGAATTATAGAAAAGGCTATTATAATGAGGTAATGAAGTGTCGTTTGAGTTCACATTTGGATTTTCCTAAAACCCCAACACATTTCCGTTGAATGAGTTGTGAGAAAATAAATAAATAATTTTCAATTGTATTAAACATTTAATGACTTTAAAGTAAGTCATGTCTTCAACCGATTAAGAAATTATTGATTTGTAATTGTTTGAGAAGATCTTAGTTTTAATTAACAGTAATTGCATTCAAAGATAGAGAGACTCGGATTCAGTCCAATAATCAGACCAAAGGAGATAACACTTAATTATGACTTCTTTGCAAACAATTACCACTTTATCACCAAATATGACAAACACGACAAAAACCCATCGTTTGAATGGTTAAACCAATTGTCAGACAATTCTTGAGTTATAATTAGGGCTGAAATTAAAATTCAATTCAATTAGCGTTCAAAAGTAGCGCTCATTTGTAGAGTCATTGCAAACAATAAATGATGTCTTGAGTGGAGAAGTGCTTGAAGTGTTTGACAAAACAATACATGTGTTGGCATTGAGTGGACATCAAGTGGTGGTCAGTCATGAAGATAGCGGTCATCGGCTGCTCTCACGGAGAGCTGGACATCATCTACTCGGACATCGCGGCCATCGAGCAGAGGGACGGCATTGTGATCGATCTGGTGATCATATGCGGCGACTTCCAGGCCGTCCGCAACGCCAATGACTTGCAATGTATGGCAGTTCCCGTGAAATACAGACGCCTTCAGACGTTTCACAAGTATTATCGCTCGGAAGTGATGGCACCGAAGCTGACACTCTTCGTGGGCGGCAATCACGAGGCGTCCAATTATATGCAGACACTGGGCTTCGGCGGTTGGGTCGCTCACAACATCTTCTATATGGGCTACGCCTCTGTGGTCACCTTCAGGGGTGTCCGCATTGCAGGCATTTCTGGCATTCATAAGAGGTTTGACTCGGATTGTGGTCACTTCGAGAGACTTCCTTTCGATGAGAACACCAAACGAAGTGTCTTTCATATGAGACAATCGGATGTCTATAAACTGATGCAATTGAACGATGAGAGTTCCGCTCAGACACAAGCCCTGGATGTGATGATATCGCACGACTGGCCCCTTAATATCCACAGCTGTGGTGACGTTCAGTATCTTCTGCGCCGAAAGAAGTATTTCTTACAAGAAGTACAGGAGAATCGTTTGGGGAATCCATTACTCGAACCACTCGTAAGACATCTGAAGCCAAGACATTGGTTTTCAGCCCATCTTCACGTCAAGTTTGAAGCGCTGGTCAATCACACCGAAGACCTCTCAATACAAACTCGATTCTTAGCGCTCGACAAAGTGCTGCCAAACAGACAATACCTGGATATCATAGACATTGAACCGACACTGCCTTCGAGTAGTGATTGTCTTGAATACGACGCCGAGTGGTTGGCTGTCCTCCAGTCGACCGACAAGTTGTTGAGTATTGAGAAGAAGTGTTCAGTTCCTCATGTGATGTCTAAACTCCATTCTGTCACTGAAAGTGATATCAATCGAGTCAAAGAACTCTTTAATAATGACTTTAAAATTCCGACAAACTTTGAAATGTCGGAACCGGTTCTCAAAGACAGTGATTGTGATCCACAAAGACTAAAGAACTACACTAATCCTCAAACCGTCGAGTTTTGCAAGCGTTTGGGTATAACTGATCCCATGAGTGCCATAATCGAGTCATTGAAGCCATTGCCAAATCCGGACCAAATCTCCATCAGTGATGATGAGGAAGACGAAGACGAAGCTCTTTATGGCAAAAGCGATGAAAACCCGAACAAACGACACAAACCTGATGACAACATCGATGGCGGAGATCTGTTCTTTGTGGACAAGGGAGGAGTCGATGAACCAAAAGGTGATTCTCGAGATGTGAGTGAAGATTAGTGTTGTTTCTTATGAATTGATTTGATATTCAGAGGAATGCGAGTAAAATAGATATCAAATCAAACAAAACATGTTTTTCACTCACATTCAAGAGATAGCTATTGTATTGACTCTTTTGCTGTGTTTTAGGCAACAAAAGCACAAAATTCTAAACCAAATGAAGACATTATACAAACAAATGCGTCCACAAGTGGGATGGCATCTGAAAATGCGGAGACACTAACCAAACGACAGATCAAGAGAAGAGCAGATAAATTGAAACGACAGACAGAATTGAGACAATTGGAGAAAATGGATGCGAATCAGAGGAAAGACACGAAAACCGAAATGAGTAAACAGATGAAGAAAATTGTGGCTAAAAAGAGACACCAATCCAGAAGAGAGATGATTATCGACAGACTCGAGTGGATTAAAGCGAATCTACCGATGAAAAGCCCCAACTCTGAGATTGATGTCATCTCTTTAGACCAGTTGTCTATAAATACTGAATCAACGCATTAATCATTACTTTTTGATAGCACCGGGATATGTTTTTACTGTACAGTATTATAAAATTCAAATAAAATCTCAAACTTTATAATTAACAAAACAGTCATTGAATTTAATTTTGATTAAAAGATTTATATAGCATTTGGACAAACATTTGTGGGAAAGACCTATTAGTCTAGGCTTTATACGTTTTGGGAGTCTGATGATCGGGTGTCTGACTTCCCTAAACTGATTTAATTTTCAATTATGACCTTAGGTTTGCTTTCCTTGGTCTCGGGTTTGGACTCAGGTTTGGATTTCTTTGAGTGGCGTTTGCGACGAACCGCCAGAAACACTATGAAAGCGATTAAAACAACGACCAAAACGATGAACAAAATGACTACTGCTTTGTATAAGCCCTCCGAGAAGTCATCGTTTGCAGTGTCAACCCTTCTCGAAGAGTTTGTCTGTGAAGTCATTTGGGCCTCATTGGCGTATGGATCACCTGTGGGTGATATACAGGTGCCACTGAATTTGAAGAAATCTTTAATTATATTCTGTTTGATGTGTTTAATTGCTGACAATTTTCCGTTTGTGAAGGATTTGATATGAAGACTCCAGAAACTATCGCCATTGAAGAGAAGGAATCTGTTGGTGTCCACGAGTGTCAGCGCATCGATTCCGAGCCCTAAATCTTGAATCGATTGCAAACCCAAAGATTTTCCATTCTGTTGTCCCTCACATATAGGCGTCAAATCAATGACATCGTAATGAAGTCTTTGAGCGACTATTAGATATGCCTTATTGTAGATAAAGAAGGCATCGATTGGTTGATTCCAGTCGACGGCCGCCGTCCGTATAATTCGCGCCGATGTGTAAGGAATGGCAGTCTCTGACCACTTGTTAGTAAGCAAATCCAAAATCATGACTTCGTTTCCGTTGACAGTCTTTTCAATCAAATGTATTTCTTGTTGTTTGGACTGAGAGTTGGGACAACTTTTACCGGGATTCCAATATATGGCGGCGTCTCCTACTCTAAACCCCCCGGGAAGTGGTGTCCCAAACACTTGGGGTGGGAATTCAGTGTCTTCGAGGAGCCAATAGTGTCCGCCACTCGTGAAGAAATACTTCTTGTAATCGTCGATATAAGCAATTGAATCAATTTGAGCGATATTTGCACATAAATCGGATGAGTTCTCGACCGGACATTCAAAGTGTATGAATAAAACGGTGAATAAAAGCACTTTAAAAGACATTGTACCGTAATCTAAACTACCAAACTAAGACTTTAACTCAATATACTGTGTATCAGTAAAATTAGTTTTACATTTTCCGTAAATCGTTTGAATCTGTAAATCCCATATAATCGCGTGCTTTCAATATAACTCATTTAGTTATAGTCGTAGTGGCCGTAAAGGTCTTCAATACATAAAGTATAGGCCGTAAAGCTTTTATTAATTGCCATAAAATTATAAAAGTTTTATTGATTTAATTACCAAAAACTCCAGATATGTATAAATTACAGAATGATTTCAAACTAAGCATTATTTCCTAACTTTAATTCAGCAAATTGTTTGGACAGAAGTATCGCATCATTAATGGCGCCCACATTTGTACCGCTGGCCTGCGATGACTCCTCTTTTCCGCCTCCCTTCCCATTAATAGATCCTATGATTTGTTGGACCCATTCGTTTGCCTTGAGACCAGAAGTGACGGCATTGGAGGGAACGGATGCCAAACAAATCACTTTGGTATCGTCAGCACTGAAAAACATGGCCGCAGTCTCTGGGGATAGGGTTCTGATCTGTCGAAGGGCTGAGTCGAGAGCCTTAGCATTAGAGCCGGCGTCCAAAGCCGTGACCAGAAATTTGGTTCCTTTGAACTGTTGGGCCAACGACTTAGCAGTTTCGACCACTTGTGTCATTTGTTGGGCTTTGTTAGCCCTGTCCACCGAATCCAACTGCTTCTTCATTTGGTTTAATTCGTTCCTCAGTTCCTCTCTTTTCCAATACGAGACACTCGACTGCGAGACCTCTTCAATGAGTTCCACGATCTGTTTGACATTCTCTTTATAAAACTCTTGACTGGTTTTGCTTCCTAACGACGTCTTCAGATCAGCGACAGATTTATCTAAAAGTTTTGCTTTATTTAAAGCTTTGGTGGCTTCGGGACCCGTGAGTGCGACGATTCGACGAATGCCTTTAGCGATGGCCTCTTCACTCGCGATAACAAAGTCTCCGATATGTCCGCTTCGCTTCAGATGAGTTCCGCCACAAAATTCTACGGATGTCTGCGTTCCCGCCGGTCCTGTTGGGTCTGACAACAAGTCCTCAACAGACACTCCAATCGAGACAACTCTGACCGGATCGGGATATGTCTCGTCAAACACTGCGCGTAAGCCTTGAACAGCTTTGGCGGATACAAGCGATGAGTCCTTTGCGAAAACCACTTCATTCTTAGCAATCATTTGTTGGGCAATACTTTCTGTTTGTTTCACTTGAGAGGCATTCATTGCGCCCTAAAATCAATACAAAAACATTATTACATTTCTAATCATTGGTTTGATAATGAAAATAATTAATCACATTATTAGTGAAATCAAATCGGAGTTTATCGGACGACACGAGCGATCCTTTTTGGTTGGCCTCAGTTGCCAATACAGAGCGCAATGCATAGTTCAAGACATGAGTTCCCGTGTGGTTATTCATTATGAGTTTACGTCTTTGTTCATCGATTTGCAGTTTATATGTGTCGCCAACCCTTAGGACACCGCACCCGATGCGACCGATATGCAGGACATACCCGCCGTGTACTTTCACTTCTCGCACTTCAAACTCAGTCTCCTCTTCATCAGAACCTGTGGTCTCTTTAGTCATGAATCCGGTGTCGTATTCCTGTCCGCCGGCCTCCGCATAGAACGACGTCTTATCCAAAATGACTCCACACTCGTCTCCACTGACAACCTCTTTGACGAACTGCTTATTCTTTCTGATGGCGACAACAGTTGCCTCGCATTTCGCAAACTCGTAGACAGAGTTGGGTTTCTCGTCGACAGACTTGTAATCATATTTCGGCAAATCATTTGTCGAATCAATTTTCAAACTATCCCTCAATTCGGCGATCGAGTGGACGTCCAAATCAATTCCGGAGTCGAATTGAGACGATTTACTTTGGGATTTCAGTTGTGCCTCAGATTTACTGCTCTCGTATGCCTTCACATCCACTGAAAAGCCTTTCTCTTCAACCATTAGTTGTGTTAAGTCGAGCGGAAAGCCGTACGTGTCGTATAGCCTCCACGCGATATCTCCGGGCAATACCTTTTGAGCTTTCATTTTATCTATGGTTCGCTCCAATAATCGCTTTCCTCTGGAAAGGGTTTTCAAGAACTGGACCTCTTCTTCATTGATAATATTCATCACATTTTGCGGATCTTTTGTCAGTTCAGGAAATACACCGCCGAGTGATTCGATCACAACCGGCACTAATGAGGCAAATACTCCCGGCTTTCCGCCCAGTTTCTCAACAAACCTAACGGCGCGCCGTAGTATTCTTCGGAGGACATAACCCCTCCCTATATTGTCGGGTCGGCCGCCGTCTGATAAAGCAATGGTTAGAGTGCGGGCGTGATCTGCAACCACTCGATAAGCCATATCAATGCCGTCCACGTCATCGGCGCCTACTTTGCCAGTATAGGACCGGACGCCTGTATACTCTTGAATGGCATTGAAGATGGGAACGAAGCAATCCGTGTCATAATTGGAGGTCTTTTGCTGAATCACAGACACCAGTCGCTCGAAACCCATTCCTGTGTCCACGTGTTTCTTAGGCAATGGTTTGAGTGAACCATCGGTTTCTCGATTGAATTGAATGAACACCAGATTCCAGATTTCAATTTTTGCTGAATCACAGACACCAGTCGCTCGAAACCCATTCCTGTGTCCACGTGTTTCTTAGGCAATGGTTTGAGTGAACCATCGGTTTCTCGATTGAATTGAATGAACACCAGATTCCAGATTTCAATGACATCCGGGTCGTCCATATTGACCAGCGATGCGGCATCTCTGCCACCGATGCGGTCGAAGTGTATCTCAGAACAGGGACCACACGGACCTGTTTCACCCATTTCCCAGAAATTGTCTTTCATTCCAAAGGGCAGCACTCGCTCTGATGGCAGCCCTAAGTCCAGCCAAATCTGGCGACACTCCTCGTCAGCCTCTAAGCCACTGTCGGCGTTACCACCAAAATAGGTCACATATAGTCTGTCTTTCGACAAACCATACACTTGTGTCAAGAGCTCGAAAGCCCAGCAGCAGATCTCCTTCTTGAAGAAGTCTCCGAAAGACCAGTTGCCCAGCATTTCAAAGAACGTGTGGTGATAGCTATCTTTGCCGACGTCATCCAAGTCGTTGTGTTTACCGCCGGCGCGGATACACTTCTGGCTGTTCACCACTCGTCGGTATTTCGAAGAATCACTGTTCGGGTCAACGGTTCCCAAGAATATGGGCTTAAACTGCAGATAAATATTTAATAAAATTAGTTTTCATGAGTTTTTTGGGGTATTGATGGGCGAAGACCTGATTCATCCCCGCGTTGGTGAACAGTAGAGTCGGATCTTCGTGTGGTATAACCGACGAAGACTTGACGTACAGATGACTGTATTTGTCTTTAAAGAAGTCGATGAATGTCTGGCGGATGGCCTGAGCGGACATTGCGTTGGAAGCCATTATGGGATCAAATCAACTGATATTGACAGCGAAGACACAAACAATGGATTAATGAAGAGAAATACAAACGAAACGCTATTTTATATGAAATGCAAAACAAATGGATTTCAAAATATGTGTGAAATTAGACTAAAGTTATGATGAAATATGTGTTGAATATGTGATCAACTCTTGTGAGACATACCATACGTGTGTCTCATATGGTGTTTACCTGTGCTTTCAGTGCAGTCTTCGTACTGACGGATCAAATATCGTCGACAACTGATTATCGGCTAATCTATTGAGACGATTGTCACAGAAATCCAATGAAACGATAATTCACTGAAACCTCACTTTTGAGACCAAAATCAATGAATGAGTGGTTCTTTGAATGAAAAAGTTTTCATTGAAAACACGTTTACTATAAAAATGTGTTTACGTTTACGACTCAGACATACGGTTCATACAAATTACGTAACATTTGTCTCAATAGTAGGCAAACAATGCACTCGTTATTGCAATGTTGCATAACTTTTATAATACTGTATATATTGTATAATACTTTTATAAGTCTGTTTTTGTATTATCCTATCGAAATAGTTTTTTAAAAGTTATTCACTATAATATTTTGTTCAATACTTTTTGAACACTTCAAGGATAACTAAATTTTTATTGATATCTATATATTAGTGTAAAATTTAAAATCATTTCATTAACTTTTATTTCATAATTTGCTTAAAAATATTACGGTATAAATAAAAAGTAAATAAAAGTTATTATAAATCATCAAAAATGTAGACAATTAGAGCCAAATGGGTATCACTTTGTTTGTACGCTATTGTAATGCTCTCCCAAACTATAGGCGTATCGGAGATAACTGTTCAATGAAGACATGAAAACAAGTCTATTAATTGTCAATCACTTTATATGAATGAATAGAGTTTACCATAAAATGAGTGGAGTGTCAGTCTTATAGTCTGTCTGTCCGATCAGCACCGGATTGCCTACAGTTTGGATCACTTCGATAGGCATTTTGAAAACATGTGAAATGGCCCTCAACTCCAACTGACCGCCCCATGACTTCGTGTCCGCCACTTCTTCGCAATAGAGTTCATATTCGCTGTCATTCATGAGATCTCCCGTAGTATTACTCGTGAGGAATGGTATGAAATCTATCTTATTTTCCTTCATATAATGGCAAGTCTTTTGTCTCAATTCTGTCACATTTGTCTTAATGTTCTTAAGACTCAACTGATGTTCAATCGATCGGTACATACAGTCGCCATCCGAAGCAATTTCATACACTGTTAGTCCTCTTGAGTCCAGAATATTCTTCAACTGTTGGGCTTCAATAAGTCGATGATTGTCCGCGTCGTCGACCATATCATCGGCGATCCGTTGCTCTCTTTGCTTGTCTTTCAGCGATTTGGCGTCTCTTCTCCTCTGAGCTCTCGATATCTTCGTCTCTTTGTATTTCATTCCGTTTGCAATCACTTCCGTGTCTTCAGACACACCACTCGTGTTTGTCTCCACTTTCACGTCATTCAACTCATCCGTTAACCTATTGATCGCTTCTTCGCCCGAATGGTTGCCAACCGACAGGTCTTTCAATTCATTTTCGTGTCGTGTCTTCAGTTCTTCAGTCATTGTCTCGATTTGTGTCTTCAGGTCTTTGGCCTTCTTCTTGTCTTTTTTGTCGCATTTGTGTCTCATTTCAGTGGTCTTTGCTGTCATTAAATGCATTGAAAAATGAGTGACAAATGAGATGACAATGCCTTCAAACAAACCATTCAATTGTTTTCTCTCCAAACGATGTCTTTCGAGGATTTCCTCTCTTTTGCTCTCATTTTGATCACTCCTTTCATTCATTTGATCACAATTTATATGAAATATGAAAACAATTTCAATCAAAATGTGTTTTAACAGTGAATCCAATTTCAAAGCATTTATTTGTTTATCAAATCTATTGTAAAGTTTGTCTGCATTTCACTCATAAATGACGAGAAATTGTTAAGTTTTGATGCTTTTTAGAAAAGTTAGAAGAATTTTGTGAATTAAAAGTTGAGTTCATTTAAGATAAGACTAAATTCAGAAACTTATATTGCTTTCAATAAATCATTTTTAAAGACATATATTTCAGTACTGCTCATGGTTTTAGATGTCAAATATTTATAGGCAATAAAGTGCAATTAATAGAGATTATTGTGATTAACAATAAGTTTTCAAAACTCTCGCACTCATTGAGATTCATACAAAACTTATTATCATTCAAATAAAATCATAATCAGTTACAAATTCATACAAAATCATTTTATAAGATAACAAAATCAAAATTAAGATCAAATGTCAGTCAAAGACTTCCGTGATATTCAGAAGGACTTATCGCAACCCATTGAACTCCACAAAACAAAACTCATTATAGATGGCCATCAGATTCAAAGAGAGCTCTTCCGGCGCTCGTCTCGACTGCAAAACGACTATAAGTATGGATTAGATTACACGGCATTTGAGGACACCATCAAAGGATTCATACGACGACTTAAGATCTGCGAAATCACACCAATCGTTGTCTACAACGGATCCATTGATCCCATCGGTTATAACGAGGCATTCAATGATAGAATCTCTGAGATGAAGACCATCGTGAAGAATGGCTACAAATGCCAGTATCAGTCGCCCTCTCTTTGCAATTATGTCTTCCTTTCGGTTTTACGGGACTTTGATGTACAGGTGATTCAGACGTGTTCACAGACTTACTCGCAAATAGCAGGTCTGGCCAACAAACTCAAGTGTCCCGTCTATTCACAGAAAGGGTTCTTAAATTATATGAACGTTGAATTCGAGATCATAAACGGCTCACTTATTAGTAGTCGTTTAGTCTTCAACCAAAGCAATAGCTATTGGTTCCTCTGGACAAAAGTGTATCGTTCGGGGAGTTTGCAGAAGAAATATAAAGGATTGAAACTCGAAGTGATGCCACTCTTAGGAGTCGTTCTGCGAAATCGTCTCATAGATTGCAATCGATTGGAAGAAATTGGTTATGAATCCAGTGGTCGACATCAGTATAACGATTCCAGTCGTCTCCTCAATTGGTTGAGAGATAAGAGTGTGAACTCAGCTCTTCATTCCATCACCAGATACTTGAAAAGAGACAAAGAAGAGAGAATGGATTTTCCAAAACTGATGACTGAATACCAGTGCAATGGATGCAAATCTATTCTTAAGAACTACTTATTTGAGACAGACTTCGAGTGTCAGAGTCTGAAAATGTTAGGCAAAGGGGATGTTGAGGTGATTCTTCCGAAGTGGTTCGTCAAAGAATACCAAAGAGGAATCATTCGTCCGGCGCTTATGAATGTGGTTAAGCAGAAGATTCACGTCCTTTACCCGCAATTTGAGGACTTCTCACAAAACTCGAGTTATGAGTGCACTCTAAGCCTCAGACGATTCCTTTACGGCATTTTACGAACCGAAACCGAAAGTCCGCCAAACATTAGAGTCTTTGATCGAAAGGGTCTCATGAGATGTGATGATTCAGTCGCTCCTCTATTAGCCGTTTCAGAGTTACAGGAATTACCGTTTTTGGGGGACATTAGAAAGATGGACATCACTGACAGACGAGTCCTGTTTCTGTCAGCTTTGGAAACAAGTGAGGCGTTCATCAATCGCATCAAGATTTCAGTTTTGGTATTAGAATTATGCGAAGACAACACTACCATCGATAGCATCTGTTTCCTCGTTATTCTCATGAGATTCATGCTTAAGAACAACACAGAAGTCGATTGCAAGCCATTCATCGGCGCTCTTGTGCTCAGTATTATGTATTACAGCAGTGAAGAGCTTTCCGAAGAGGACAAGTGGACACATCTGTGCAGTCCTCCCATCGAAGACACATTTGAGCCAAGATTTGTGCACTTCTTCTCCCAATTCCAGGCCTGTCTTCATATCGCAAACTTCGTCAACACTATCCTCGAGTTCCCCTTAAGAGAAGGAAAGCCTTTCTATTGTCTGAACGGAATATTCCTGTATAACGCCATCAGAATGCTGTCCAATGACGAGGAATACCAGTCGTTCCTAAACTATTTGTTCAGAAACAAGCAGTCGATGGCAGACGTCTATAACGAGTTCATCCAAATGGTTGTGTCCGAGCATTGGAGTCAATGATTGAACTGAAAATTCTTGTAGTTTTTTACTATTAATTCTCAATTATGTTTTCAATTATTTATTTTTACACATTATTTTATATTTTAATCAATAAAAATATTTTTAAAATGTAATCATTGTAAAACTCATTCAACAAAATTTTACTTTTATACGTAAACAACAAATCGCGAAAATATTCTGTACTAAACAACACTTTGTTAGTATAAATCAGATTAAAGGATATTGTAGTGGCATTTTTGGGAAACTCATACCGGTACCGGTGTAAAAATAAAAATAAAACAAACAAAAAATTAAAATGAACTTAAATTAAGTTTTATTTTAAACATATTTATGACAACATTATACTGTATATCGAACACAATAAGAGATAAAATATATGCAAAAAATAATTGTGAAATCAATTAAAATTTCAAAATGAGTTCCAAATCTAATTTAAGCGTCTTTTGGGTGACGACCTATAAGTGGAGAGAAAAACGTATTTCAAGAACTTTAAGAAACTTTAAGCGAAGAGAAATGATTTTTAAGAACATTTAACTTAATATAATAATCATAATAATTAATATAATCATAACTAAAATGAATAGCAAATGAATTATTGATCAAAAGAGACAAAAAAATATGGCATTAATTAACTGATTAATAATTAATCGCTTTTTACAATTCGTCAACATTTGGCGAAAGTGTCGATGAATTGAGTGAAATCTCGCCTTTCATTAGAGAGCTATACATGAAAACTCCGGTTCCGAACAATACAACAAAACCCAATGAAAGCAAACTATATTTAACTAAATGTTTCTTAAGTCGAGACCTGTCTTCCGAGTCTTTTTGTTTCTTTTTCATCCGATCGATGGTCTCCACAGTCTTCCGCCGCTTCTCATCGCGCAGTCGTTTGCGAACCTCTTGTTCTCTTTGCTTGGTTTGTGACAAATTGTTAACTGAATTGTTGTTAGAATTGTTTGAATTATTGTTCATTAGCTCCAAATGATTGGCTGAGTCTTCACTTGAGATCATGTCTTGTCGTAGTGTTGGGACGGATGAGAATGACGAGCATTTCGTTCTCTTAGAGTCCGGTTCCGGTGACGTCGACCCCGATTGCTGTGAAGTAGTACTGAACGAGCGGCGAGAACGCGGCGGCAATGGAGGCAAAGGGTTTGAACACATGTCCATCTGATTCACATCTAAAGGTTTGTGTGGAATATCACCAAAAGGGAACTCAGACTCATCGCCGTCTTCTTCGTTAATACCCAGCGATCTCGAAATCTTTGGTGATTTGGCTTTACTTTTGTAGTTATTATTAGCACTAAAAGGCACAGTTGTGTCGTTGGGTTGAGACAGTGAGAGCTGTTTGGAGCCCTCAATGATCGCCAGATAGGAGAAGCGTAACTGTTCTGCCGTTTGGATTAAACCCATCCTGTATTTCCTCATATCTAACAACACGTCCATTACATTCACGGCATCCGTTCGGCCAAACTTTTCGATCTATTCATCAATTTATCCATTAGTTCACTGCAACTCTAACGCAACTCATCGTCAATAGATTGCATACCATTATAAGACACGAATCGACGAGACATAGAGTTCCCGAACGACCGATGCCTGCACTGCAATGGATGACAGGCGGTCCGTACTCTTTCATATCTAATACTCCAGACTCGCGAACGGCGTATAAATACTCGAGAAAAGAGGCCGGACTCTCAGGCAAACCAAAGTCAGGCCAAGACGTGTAGTGATAGTGAAGCACTTCCCGCCACTCATCGGTCTATACATACATACAAACAAAACGACACAACAATTACTACCAAACGGATCGGTGGTGTTGTGGCGGTTGTGGACAGACCTGAATGTCGGTTAACTTGAATTTCCTGGTTATGAAGTTCGGAGACTTAGTCTCGTCGATAAACGACACTTTGAGGCCGACGTCAGTGAAGGTGAGTTCATCGCAATCGTTGTCATCCCTGCCATTCGGCCAATACTGATGGCACTTGATTTGTCCCTTTTCTACCAATCGGTTTAACATGAGAATCGCTTTCGACTTCTGCTCCCAAATCATTAGCCAAAAGTGTCCACTCGTTATGGCTAACGGACCCTACAGTCACCGTAAAATCAATACCCAATTAGATACCCAATTAGCACGACATGTGTTGGCACTCATGGCACTCATGGCACTCATGGCACTCATGCCACTCATGGCAGCAATCGATGCAAACCTGTGTCAGAATATACTGTCTTTGAGCGGAATCTACTTCAATAAGACTGGCGTTTATGTAGTTATTATCACTTCTTCGCAGTATTATACGACTCCAATCATCTGTCAAATCAAACCAAACATCAATTCAATGCATCAAACAGTGTCTCTCATGGCATACATGGCGTCACGTCTTTGTATCGATTGAATGGCTTGTTCTCAGACTTTCGGCTCTCTTTGTTCGTCAGATTGTCGTCCGACGACTGGTATCTGATTTTCTGTCACATCAATCGACATCAATGAAGACATAATCGTATTAGTGATTGTCAACAACAAAGACAAAGGGTGGCAGTGATGGCGGTGGTGGTGGTGTCGGTGATGACAATGGGTGGTGACATACCTGATAGATGTGTTGCCATTTGTTGTGTTTGTCGTAGTCATCAAACTCAGCCTCCATTGTGGTGTCGGGATGTGTCCAGTGATGCGATCAGTGGATGTGATCAGTGGATGTGTCCAGTGATCAGTGAATGGCAGGCATTGACGCGTTTGTTGTGACAAATGTCGGTTGCGTTGGAAGTGTTGCCACAATATGTCTTCAGGTGGTGGTCAGTGGCATCGCACGGACTCACACATAGACACAGATGTCTACTATTGTTGACAATTTCAGGCACAGTATATGATAGATGAGACAAATGGTAACCAATTGAATGATACAATAAATACTGGATTACTATTACTATTACTATTAGTGTTACTATTAGTGAATGTATGACACGATTACTACAGTATTGTCTGTATATAGCGTACACTGAGTAGTGTGCAGCAGTGAAAGCACGCGTTATAATAGTGTTGTAGTAATACTCCATTCACTGCCGTACAGAGCATTCATTTTCAATGCTTTTTCACATGCAATACTATTATAGATATGCTGTAGTTATAGGCGTTCAAAATGCATACACCGCTTGAGCTCACAAACGACTCACAAATACGTCATAAACTCTATGTATGAATGAAATGCTTATAAATAAAGGCTTTCTCTCCAAATGCCTTCACTACACACATCCCAAGTGTCTGTCCATCCATTTCACCAAATTTCTCATTTCACTAACACTTTGCATACATTTATATGAAATACTTATTCATTGTAATTGATGGCATATTCAACACATTTTTGCAACTTTTTGTTGGTTACCAACAATTAAGTTGTATTTTATTACATGTAATGCAAACTCAATTATAATGGATATGAATGATACAAGTGATGAATAATTGAGTGGAAAGTGATTTGCATGAAAGCATATGCTATCCATAGACACCACACATCGCTTCGTGTGATATTACATATGAAATAATTGTTTTACAAGAAATTTGTATGAGTTTTGGTTTAAATATAGTTTTTTAGATGAAATGATTGGATTTGTTTGAGAAAAGTTTCAAATGTATTCATACGAAATGAAATATTTATATGAAATGTATCCACTTTTCTGGGAAACTAATACAATATACTGTAATAGATAGAAATCAATTCATTTTCTCAAATATACTATACATGTATGAAATTCAATGACAATATATAAATACTTCAGATATTGTTTGACATTTTGATATACATTTGAATATAAAATACTTTTTTGTTTTATTGAGTGAGTCATTGAATTTAACTTAAGAATAGCTTCACTTTAATCAGTGTTTCATTAAATGCCAAAAAGTCGAGAATTGTTGAATAGTTATTAAGTCAACAATTCTTACCACAGATTAATATGTAATCCTATATAGAGATAATAGTGAAGTGCATTAATCTACTACATGATTACCGCTAATAATAACATATTTGCTATTAGAGATTGTCTATGAGAGCAAACTTGTGTTTTTAATATCCGACAAAATTACTGAGAAATCATTAGTTGTTAATCTTTTGAAACAAACCAATAATCTGACAAATAATTGGAATTTGATTTCTAATACACTCTACACGTTATGAATTAATTAAGAAATAATTATATTGATTTAGTTTTTACGAATAAAATATTAAATATTAGATAAATATAAATTTAATAATCGTTAAATATGCTTTGTATTGAATGGAAAATATAAAGTTAAATGAATTATAGTTAAAATAAACCTTTTATTCATTAAGTAATAATAAAAGACAAAAAAATCTATTTAAAGGCAAAAAGTACTAAAATACATAAAAATTTAATTATAATTGTTACTAATTGTGAGAAAATTTATCCAAAAGCTTTCAAACGAAGGAAATGTTTATTTGAAATAAAGTTGAATTTTTTCAATGAAGTGATAAATGAAAACATTAAAAGTTAAGCAATAACTTTGAGTACATATACCGTGCGTTGAATGGCATTCACTATTTTCCGAGAATCGAGTGATTGATAAATAATTTATTTATTTATAAATTTATTTAAAATAAACATTCATTCCTTTAATGAACTCAAAATCAGTTTTTATTAATTTTGACTGCAACTTTCAAAATCAAGTCAATTAATCAACATTTCGCCAATTCTTGTCAACAACAATAAAATCGTTATAAATATTTATGCATTTATTTCATACATATTAATACCGATGACTTTTTTTTTGAGTCGATGACTATAATTTAATGTCTCTTAATTTATAATTCGTTTTAAAAGCTTTGAAGTAATTTAACTATTGAATAACTTATGATAAAAAATTGTTATTATGATAATTTTATATTACTAGTATAATTTACAAAAGGTATAATAAAATTATACATTAGAAATTGAATACATAAAATCATTAAAAATAATGTGATTTAAAAATGTCATTGTTATGATAAACTTCTTAACCGATTGTATATTTAATTTAATAACACCAGTATGCTAGTAAGTCACTACTGATACAAGGTACTTTGCTTAATAAGCTCGTATAATGACCACAAAATGATTCACAAAAAATTAATTCATTAATTTCTCAATAATACATAAGTTATTGTTTTCTTAAACGAAACACTTATTTATTTAGTTATTAAATCATTGATTAATAGCTCGAACGCAATAATCCTTAAGTGATTATTTATAAAAATAAATTATTTTCAATATTTTGTACAGAAATCGAGCCAATCATCAATTTTTTGTATCTGAAAAATGATTGCATCCCAGCATTGGTTTTATAGACGGGCCGTCATTTAAGTATGACTTTCAGGAAATTCGGGTTCGCTTTTGCAGGAACTCTAGGAAATGGGAACTGAATCTAAACATATTCTCATCCATTAGACAGAGTATGTCTTGTGTTGCCAATAGTTTTATGATTTGTTGGCTGTGTTTAAGTTCAACTGAAGGCTTTCTATTAAGTGATGACATCATCTTATCATCAAATTTATTGTATAAAAACTATATTCACATAAACACAACAAAAATCAACCCATTATAAAAGCTATTATTATTTATTTGAATTATGAGCATTATTCTTTTTGTTATAATTCACACAAATATTAATCATTATAAATTATTAACAAACAAACGTATTCTTTACAAAATTATAATTTAATTGAGTATTGCTTTATAAGAATATAAATAATGAGATCGATATAAACATGACATTTATTTTTTATGATTGCCAAGTCTAACAAGTTACGCATCTGTATAATAATAGAAATTATTTATTTGACAAATAAATAATCAATTTTGAACTGAGTGCAAGTGATGTGATTTTGAACACCAAAAGGCTTACAAATAAAATTTGAAAATCTAGAAACTTTCTAAAAGGAAGTTATTTAGAATTGACTCGTTTTCGCTGTTATATTATCTAAAAATGTTAAGACTATTGTTCCGGAGGGCAAAAGGGGTTCAAAAATATGGCTCATAATTTAAGACTTTAATACATCAGTACTTATATAAAGTGATTATTTCCGAAAATTCGTTATTTGTTTCCTTCCGACCTCTTTCTCTCACATAAGTCTATAAATATTCTTAAAAAACTAAAAGTAAAGTAAACTTTATTATGAATTTAAGAATCTGTGTGGTTTACACTTTTCGGGCTCATAATAATGGTCTCATCAATCTTTTTGATGTAAAATCTCTTTTTGAACCTATAGTTATACAATGTATCTCTTGTATAGAAATAATAGAGTGATATTTGAGCTCAAAATCAATTTTCATATAATAAATAGTTAACAAAATTCATAAGTTTCGCGATTAACCATAATGTATGATATGTCAGATTAGAGGCAAACACTGTCACGCCTTACCATAAGTTTGTGATAAGAGTGACTGCATTATGGTATGAATGTCTGACTCGAGTCAACCATCGCCTCTACTCTGCAGAGTCTGCACTCAATTACCACGAATAGAGATATTATATGAAATATTTGATACCTTCTCTCGTGCTCTCTCTCCCTCTCTCTCCCTCTCCTACCATATAATTAAACAAAACATTGATTTAAATAGTTTTTGTTGTGACTCTTTGGTCAGAGAAGGGAACTTTCATTAGTGTTTTAGTTTACACTAATGAACAGTTAATCACTTTAGATAAGTTAACCACTATTTAGTTTACACTGCTTATCTCGACTTCAATGCATATATTGTGTAAGAATACGAATGATAACACTTTGGGTTTTTTCTAAATTTAAAAAATTAATTATTAACAAAATAATTAATTTGCCTGTTAATATCAAGGCTTTAATCAACTACTGCATTATTAATACGACTACATCTGTACAATAGTGTATTAAAGCGTATTAACTTTATAACTTTGCACCACAAATAGTGCACAAATTGTTTGACATAATTGTTTGTATGCTGTTTGATAAATATTCTGTACATTAGCTAATATATTTCACCATTTAAATCTATGTTCCATTTAATATAATATTTTTGTTTTCACACAGATTATACATTATGAATGTAACATTAGTATTATAATTAATAAATTCAATTTCAAAAAGTTTTAATAATGACTAAAAATGTTTCAAACAATAAATTTGTGTGTGAATTATCGACATTTAAATTACTAAATGTATACTTATAACTCATAAATTATAAGTAATAATTTGTTAAATAGTATTGATATACTGTATATCATATAAAACATAATTGTTATACAGTGGCAATACAGCAGTATATTATTAATGAATATAATTATGGCATCCAATGGAGCAAAACCTGAATTCTTTGTCGGAAAACAGGAAATAAGTTATAATGAGTGCGTGTATTGTAATCATTATATAATTTCTATTTATATGTTTGATTATTCATTTATTTTAATATTACTGCAGAATATCATCGATTAATGGATTAAAGAATTTGAATGAATGAACAAAAGATTGATCCAAAAAAGAAAACAAACAAATATCTCAACATTGATTTGATTCATACAATAAATGTCTGCCATTGAATGCATTGAATAAATGAATTCCTCATAAGAGATCGTTTTTCGTCTTTTATTCTTCCCTTTCAGTGCATAAATCCGTTTCTGCTTTCGTTAGAGAATCCATTTGTGAACCGATTTCTTGGGTCGATCCCAACCATCGCTCTTCTCCTCCACTCCTATCTTCAGTGCCTGTCATTTGTTTGCTGTGTTTTACTCCCACAAACTCACTCATAATAAATGACTTATAAGTTATAACAAATCATATATTACTCATTACTATCTGTATAATGAAAAATTATTTATTTTAAATATTAAATAAAAATTTAGATTAAATATAATGTTCTGTTCATTTATAACTTTAACTTTTAATCTCTCTCTCTCTCTCTCTCTCTCTTTCTTTCTTTCTCTCGATATCCTTTTTGTATAGAATTTTGAGCGAATGAAATGTCTTTATAGTTGGTATAGTATTAGAATATAAATATTTAGTTATGCATGAATTGAATGCAAATTTTAGTCGACTCTCAGGAAATATAAACTTCAGCACACAATCCATGAATAATAAAATATAAGTTTATTACACAATTGATTTAAATATATATTTTTTGACCATTTTTTACAACACTCCGACTTATAGGACCAGAATTGCATTAACCAGTCTATTGAATGGTTGTTCAGTGCCATGAAAAACTATATTCACTTAATTCTTGTCGTGATTTAACTATAAAAACATTTGTTTTGAGAATCGCTTTAGATTTTCGTCAATTTATTCCCTTTTATTCTCTCTATTATTGAGAACTCAAATAATAACAGCTTTTAAGATGAAAGAGAGTATCGAATGTATGAATGAATAGAGAGAGAGAGAGAGAGAGAGAGAGAGGGAGAGAGAGAGAGATTGCTTATAGAGCAGAGATAAGCTACGAGTGCAATGTGGGGCGGGTCTCATAATTGATTGAATAAGACCTTAAGGGCAGCCTAGGAGCGGCCGATTCGCCAGTTTCTGCCTCTGTTGTCATTACAGCAAACTCTTTGATGATGATTACGGTGTGATTCTGACACAACACTAACTTCTATGCGTTATATTTATATTTATTTATAATACAAACCGCTAAAAAAGTTTTATCCAAAAGATAAGCAAAAGTGAAATACGAAACGGACATCAAATTCTCGACTAGTTTTCCCAAAATGAATGACACGTACACTCCGTTTCTATTTCTATAAAACGCTATCAAATCATATTATCTCAAGATTTTTTAGGTAAGTTTTTTGACATTTATTTTGAACTGATACTTTTTATATTAAAAGTTGTTTCGCGATACACTTTCAGTGCAATGCAATGGCACTGTTACATTAAGTGTAAACTATGGCATTAACATTTCATGTGCAAAAATCGTGAGAATCTATTATAAGGAAAATGAATGAAGGGGTGAATTAAATAACAATAAACCGTTTATGCGTAACAGTATTGTATAGTTTTGCAAAATAAGTAATTTGTTGACCGATAATCACATACCTATGGTATAGCAATCGTACTTTCCTTCCTTTGCTACCCTTCCTTGTCTTCCTCTGATGATCCGTTAGGAAGAAGGAAGACGGCCTACAAGGCATTGGGAAGGAAACCTCTGTTTCCCCATTTGTTACTGAATATTATATTGCAATTCACTTATTATAATAAACTGTTTATTCAATAAAATCAAGTGTGAATTTCCTATATTTAAAGTTACGCAACGGATATATTTAACTAAATTACTTAACCTTATCTCAAATCTTTTAGCCCTAATTCACTGCAATAATTATAATTTATATAGTTTTATTTAACTTTTAATTAGTTTACAATATTTATAAAGCCTCTGTTACAGTGATTCTGGATGTTTAAATATTTTAATTGACTAAAAACATCAAACATTTAATATGAACTTATACAGAATTAACTTATAGTGAAAAAATAAAGTTTTAATTAATTATAAATATTATTGGATATTTAAATAGAAACTTAGTAAAACTCGTAACATACCAGAATGTTTGTTTTCATAATTGCAATCAAATACATTTATAAAATCTGATCAATATAGCTTAATAAAATAGGCATAAGATATTCTGTAATAATAACTTTATAAAATATTTATTGTTTTTATATTTTTGATCCTGTTTATCAAATGAAAAAATGTATAAAACCTAAACAAATAATTAAACAGACATTCTTTTTAGATGTTATTGAAAACACATATTAACTAAACTATAAACATAATTATACTTGCGCTATATCTAACTTATTAAGTAACCAAATAATTACAACTTTTATGTTTCACTTCCAAAGTGCACATAACTGTTGAGAAACTGTTGGCTCACAATATTGCACTCAATTGTCAGTACAGTATATAAACGCTTGACTGTATTGCAGTCAAAACACTTTTACGTCAAAACTTATTAAAGATACAATTTTTGTAAAAATAATCTTCAATATCTTAATAATCTGAATTATTTGTGTTTACTTATTGTTACAAAAACTGTGATAAATTTACAAATTTTCGATATAAACAATTCGCTAATACGGTAATTAATGATACTTTTGTACATATGATTGTAATGTCTATTGCCATTCAGTATCCGATAACGAGTTAAAAGTGTTGCCAACAATTCCAGTCATAAGTCTGTTATTTATTTTGAAAACATATTTAATGGCAAATAATGATTGTAAATATGCATCGGATCTCTTAAATAGTACACCAAATGAACAGTGAATTAAATGAAATAATGATTGAATAGATAAAAGGCTTAGTATTTGTTAGGACGCAATAGCGGCTCATTTAAACTGTCGATAACGATGACAGAGTCGTAAAGAGTGTTCAGAGTATTCATTGACTTTCAACTAATTATGAGAGCATTGAAATAGTGAAATTGGGCGATCCCTGGGAAAGTGAGTGCCACAGAATACCAGTGCCACAGAACTGGTACACCAGTGCCACAGCACTGGTATATCAGTGCCACAGCACTGGTATATCGGCAGAGATGCGCCGATCGGATGGGTCGACACACACGTGCCGTTTATGGTTAACTGAACATAAATGCGGTGCTGTGTCGCTCTCATAGACTGCTGGCGCACACATAGAGTGCCTCAACTGACTGCAGTTTGGCTCACATGCCGTCCCTGTGACTCAATTTCCGACTACAATGAGTGCTGGCGAACGACACACTCCTTATTGGCATCACTACTCAGTTTTGCTGATTTCCAATTCATTTTCATGTCTAACATCACTGCATATATAGCTATAATAGTATAACTATAACTGCACGGCACTGGTAGGGTAGTCGCGGGCACCAGCACTATGCAACTCATTAGTTTTGATGCTCCCAAACATGAAACATTACATTGTATTCAACGCTCAAACTTATTGACTGTTTGGATGGGATATGAAAATACATATAAATATTAATATTATTTTTCATTCAATGAACGCTCGATAGGGAAGAGTAGAGAGAAAAACGATTTGAAAGTTGAAAGCAATGCTGAAACACATGCCGTAACAGAGTTTGATTACATGCGGTGCACACAATAAGTGAGCCCATTATAAGTGCATTTAGAGGTGAACTATACTATACTATACTAACTATACTATTGGCAACCAGTTATTCACCATAACATTGGGAGTCCTGAGAGCTCGGACCTCATGGGAAAAATTTAATGCATTTATGGTTTGCTTAAAGCTATGAATGGCAGCGAAAGTCAAGTCAATTGATATGTAGTCAAAACAAGAGCTATCAATGCATACAAAACAGATCACCAATTAGTGGGGTATTTGTTATACAACATCAGACATCAAAATTATGATGTAATACATAATATAATGAAATTGTTTGCATTCAGTCTCTCGTTATGTATTTGATGTGTTGACGCGTTTGCACAGTTAGCCAATAATACAAACGAATTATACAATTTGTGTTCATTTTCCTATTATAGACATCCGTTCCCCTCCATTCTAACTATAACTTTCAAACATTAATACCGTATTTATATTTATTTTATTTATTTTGACTTTTCTCTAAAACAATAATTTCCTATCACTTAGTGTTTGGAGAAATCTTTCAAAAAACTTGTCAAATGAAGATGTTTTCCAATACTACTAATAACAACACCAACGGAACAAATAGCGGAACAGTTTTGCCAAACAATTTGAGTGATTTTGATAGCGATCTGATCCTCCATAAGGCCAGTGTCTGCAATACCAATAGCATCCTGGCCTCAGCCACCGCATCCATCTCAACGCACGGACAGTCCAATCGACCGGCGCCTCGCATCTCCATTCAGGTCAAAGTGGAGGAGAACAGCGCCAGTAGTAGTAATGAAGACAATAGTAATGGTGAGGCCAACGGGTCCGCACTCAACAGCAACAGTGGCCAACAACTGGCGATTGGCAACAATTGGCCCAATGCTTGCATATATAAGTGTAATATCTCTGCCGCTGCCGACGCGCGCCGTTATGTCTACAGTGAAGACAAATGCATAGAACCAGAAGTCGAGCCCAAGAACCAGGAAAACGAAACAAACCATTTGATTGCTCTGAGGGACCAATTCCTATGTAATGGAAGTGCTTTCTCAACCAATACACAACCAAATAGTCAACATTACTCTATTGCTGATAATTGTAAGTGTTTTACACATTCATTGCTAACAATATACAAGTGAAGTCATTTGTATCTTATCACTACATTCACAAGTTACCGTATTTTCATTATAACTAGTACATTTCATTAATTTCACAATTGTGAGACAAGTTTAAAATTAATTCTTAATATTTTTATACAAAGCAGGAATTTCTGTTGAATTAGCTTAACATTTAAAAAATATATACTCTTTTACAATTAGATTTTAAATGTATTATCCCATTTATTTTTGCTATGATCCTCACACATCACTAGTACAGTACATGTATTAATCTTCATCTTTTAAAAAAAACAAAAAACATTAAAATTTGTATCAATATACTATATTAGTGTAATTTCTACCAAGTTGAATTTCATTTGTATTTATATTTAAATTTCACTAGAATGTCAAACACAATTACATAATATCAAAAAACTCTTCACAATTTTATATTTCCGTATATGTTTTTAAATATCAATATTTATAAAAAAAAAGCTTTAGAAACATAACTTTAAATAAAATTAAATAAAACATATTAAATTTTAAATATTAAAGTTTTACAACTATTATATAAACAAAATATTTTGTTTGTTTAGTCGGAAGCCATTCATCGAAACTAAATTCCTTGAGAGAAGACGAACTCAACACTCTTCGCGTGAATTCACTGCAGGAATCGGTTATTAATAATAGCGAAGAAAAGCGTGTTTTTCTCTCAGGTATGGAAATCCTATGCCTGACATCTATTTGAATTACACCTTCCGTCCCATTATGTAATGCAAACTCAATGCATATTATCCTATAAGCAGTTTAAGACAATTTTGAGGAATTAAATGCATTAATCGCTTAATGAAATTGTTTGGAAACAGTGGGAAATCATTTATGCAATGTTTGGTGTGAAAATGAGTGTAAAAATTAGTTTTCAATACTTTGAATTCGATAGTTATTATTAGTATTTGTTGGGATCAGATGTGAATCAGATTTAGCGACAAACGGATGTCAAGTGTCGGGAAGTGATGTCGGGTATTACCAATTGTTTTCCTTCTCGGAAAGTCATACGTTTCCTCTCAACTCAGTTATCGCCTAAAAACTGATTATAAGTTTACCAACAATTTATTTATTAATTAGAGCTTATATTTTAATTAATTATTTTTAATCAAATAAATATGAAACATAAAAATGACATAAATTGACACAATTTGCACAATAAATCCAATTGTTTTGTACATTCTTTGCTTGTTTTATAGGTTTAGTTTGAGATAAGAGAGAGAAAACAGAGACTCAACACCAAAATTGTTTAGAGTATTAGTTCGTAATATAAGTCATGCGTCGATCGATAACAATGTGTGAGTGGAGAGAGAGAGAGAGAGGGAGAGAGAGAGTGAGAGTGAGAGAGATGGCTTTTTTTAGTCGATCGTGTCTTTGAAAGACATTAACATTTTAGCGCTACTCCTACTTATGATAATAGAAGAGCCAATCACTTAAACAATCAAATCAATTGTTTTACTAGAATTAGACCCAATCTATTGGAATTGGGAACAAGTGAGACAATGGCTCGAATGGACGGTCAAAGACTATTCGTTGCACGACATCGACATCAATCGATTCAATCATTTCGTGGGGAAAGACTTGTGTCGTATGACTCGAGAAGACTTTAAAAAGGTTTCGGACTCTAATAATGGAGAACTGGTTTTCGCACAGTTCCAGATGTTAAGACAATGTGAGACATGGATTATACATATAGATCCATCATTAATCATACATTAATACAAACATTAAATTAAACAAAAACTCTTTATCCAAATGATAGCTTCGCTCAGTTTATGCAAACAGGAGAAACAAAACCAATCGATCGGCACATTAACGACTCTCACCTCCTCATGTGAGACCCTTTTATATAATAATTGTATACAAAAGTTTGTATTAAAATTCATAACATATTTTAGATCAAAATAAGACTTACTCACAAAACCTAATTCATAACTCTGGAAACTCAGCCCAGAATTTTAGACTTTCGAAAAATGGTAAGTTTGTTGCAATTTAAATTAATGTAAAATATCATACGAATATGAGTAAAATGCAAATTTGTTTGAATACAAAAACTAGTAAATGGAGTGAGAGTTGACAACAGAGTTGTCACTGTTTTGGTAAATGTTTTCTTTAGCCCTCAATTCACAAGCATTGGGTTCTCACGCGTCAAAAGAGTGTCAAATCTTTTTTATGTGAAGTGAGCGTAGAATGCATTCAATTTATATGAATATAAAGTTAGCGTAACTCTAATGTCATAGAAATGTATAACAAATACAGTGTGGAGTGACTACTGAGAGCGAGTCGATTAGACTGCAATCACTGCTGAACATGAAATTCATTTCACAAATGAAAACATTTGTGTCATTTTGTCACCATTTCATATACGAATCAATGATTTACAGCTCAATGCATATGAATATAAACTTCATGGGAAGAAAAAGGTTATGCGATATTGGCTTCAATTGACTCTCGTTTGTGGACTCAGTTGTGTCGCGTGTCTAACAATATGGTGTCAATTAAGACATTACTAACACTACTCTCCTGTTGACCCCAACGGCCCCTCACTCTAGCCATACATGCATTCACTCATTCACTATGAAAATGAGTTACACTTACTGTACACTCCATTTCCATACGTGTAATATACATGTTATTTCACTTGTATTACAGTTATATAACTGTATATTTTGTTAAATACAATACAATTCACAGCTTATGAATGATTGTCACCACAACTCCGGTGGGAAATGTTTTTCCATTAAAAATGACAATCAAAACCTAAATACCCGTTCATATAAAATACACTATTATACTTTTTGGCCCTTATATTTATTTTAAAATGTCAATATTAGGTACACATCTAGAATATTCAATACCGTTTTGTGAATTGAGAGGCCGTTTGTCATATTCGAGTCGTTATACAATATGATTGTGGATCTAATAGATGGTGCCATTCCTCTTATATGTGATTGTAGGACATAGTCGTCCCAATACAACACAATACCAGTTCACGAGTGATCGATATTTGTATCACTGAATGCAACTGTACTGTTGAACAGCACTACAGCACTGGTAGAGTCAGTCTATACAGACGTCTATAGAGAATAGTGGAAAATAACACAAAAAGTCTAAAATTGTGTACTTTTTATGTTTTTCAAAGAAAATAATGTTTTTTTCGCTCAAATGAATTCGTTGGTCACGCGTCTAATGCGAGGGACTTTGCCATACATTTGGTGCGATCTATACTTTGGGGTCACTTTCACTATAGAAGAAAAGGTCTCTTTATTTGACAGCCTTTTCATGTGAGGAATGTTAGCGTTTGTATTCACTTGTTAGCAGATCTTTCGTTTGACATTTAGAGGGAGTAATCGATCCTTTTGTCAGTTAACGCTTCACTAATTCTGTCAGAAATGAAAATTTATAAAAAGAGTTCACTTTTGACTGCAATCGCCGACACAATCATCTCATATATAAAAAGTATCTCTTCTCTGGTGTCCTAATAAAAGCCCGGTTTATATGATGTGAAGTGTCTTTACAGGCGTTGCATTCAATGCTAACCTATGGAGCAATAGTTACAGACGTGTAGAGTATGTGTGCCTCTTATGAGCCAAATCTGCTTAAATTGAACCAAAGCTCTCTGTTTGTCGTCTCAGTATTAACTGTATATTAGGGATCATATACGAGATAATCCCTTATAATAAGTCCATTCAATAGCTCTATTTAATTGCTATTTATTTTTGTGATACAATCTAATAAATATTAAACATTTCTAATCATGCATACTGTACTATGCAATAACACGTCTATAATAAAACTAAATTAAAATCATCTTAAGAAAACATAATACATCCAAAAATGTAATCACGAGTAAATTATTTTCATTTTTTGTATTGTTTTTTCTACAAAAATGTGCCAGTATGAAAATAGTATATACTGTACTGTACAGTATAAAAATAAATATACGTAGTATTTAATGAATGTGAGTTTAGTTGATATCACTTTTTATTTACTCTATCTTTGTTAGTCTTATACAGTACTGCATAATACTATATAATACTATAGGAATCAATAGTTAAATAGATTTTCAAAATGAATCATTGAATGAGATTTAATTGAATAGAATGTATTTCTTTAGCATTGATTCATACGAGTGTTTCATAGATTCTGTTGTATTCATTGTATTATTGATTTAATATAAAGCTTTTGACAAAAGGGTGCGTAGTCGTTTATTAAGCATTAAAAATCGTAGAATAGAGCTAGAACAAAATAAAAAATTTTGCAACTATTGTTTTTTGGCACCAATCCAACGGTATGGCCAATTTTATCAAGACATAAGGGGAACGGTAGATATGCCTGTCCACCCATAACTTAAAAACTATAAGATGTAGGCAAGTTCTGAATTTTGGAAATTGTGCGCAGGGTCAATATGAAAAAATTAATTTCTGGATTTCGCAAAATTATTCCTTGATGATTTTTAAAAATTCTTTATTTGTGAAAATTGGATAAATTCAAATTCATAAATCTCAGCAACTACTCAATGGATTGGGGTCATCTCAACTTTGTTCGATTTGTCTTTCAAAAAACTAAATATTATCTGCTTGCAACTATACTGTATATAGTACACAGAATATTCTAGTTTAGAAATGAATTTTCTCTATGTATTTATCTTCTACCTGTTTATTGTTTTACACCTTTACCTGTATTTTCGAAATACATAGAGAAAATTCATTTCTAAACTAGAATATTCTGTGTACCATATACAATATTGGTGCAAGCAGATAATATTTAGTATATTGAAAGACAGATCGAACAAAGTTGAGATGACCCCGATCCATTGAGTAGTTGCTGAGATTTATGAATTTGAAATTATCCAATTTTCACAAATAAAGAATTTTTAAAAATCATCAAGGAATAATTTTGCGAAATCCAGAAATTAGTTTTTTCATATTGACCCTGCGCACAATTTCCAAAATTCAGAACTTGCCTACATCTTATAGTTTTTAAGTTATGGGTGGACAGGCATATCTACCGTTCCCCTTATGTCTTGATAAAATTGGCCATACCGTTGGGTTGGTGCCAAAAAACAATAGTTGCAAAATTTTTTATTTTGTTCTAGCTCTATTCTACGATTTTTAATGCTTAATAAACGACTACGCACCCTTTTGTCAAAAGCTTTATACTTGTGATGAACACACAGTTATGGCTATAGTGTTGATAATCGTAAAGATTTATTGCAAAAGGAGAGTCGAATATACATTAACGTTGGGATGAACAGCATTGCAATAGCCTTAGGGTTTGCTGTGATATGAGGCAATGGTATGTAGTGTCACAATATTATGAATTGGTTTACTCTGAGAAACATATGGAAAAATATGGGCTCATCAGCACTGAATGTGTGCTTATATAACACACACCATACGATTGGTAACATATCTCATGCGATAAAATATCTCTTTCGATATGTTTTGATTGGGTTGTCGTGTATTGCAGATAGAGAGTAGTGTTTAGCCCGAAGTAGTTTGTGGTCTTTCAAACATCCTTTCACTTTTTGTGTGAACAATCAAAACCAATACTATATTGGCTTAGCTTTTGCAGAGTAGCACTCACTCTCTCCTTGTGCTCAACTCATAGTTCTTATGCCAACAGCTATACAGCTATGATATCAACTTTCTTTGAAGTCTATATTTAATATTTTAGATTATATGTCTCTATAAGACTGCTATTCAGTCATGTGTTCATCCATTGCTCAAAGAAGAGTAAAGTTGGTCTCTCTTGTTATGTCAGCTCTTTCTCTCTCTCTCTCTCTCTCTCTCTTATACGGTGCCAGTAGTCACTCCACACTGTATTTGTTATACATTTCTATGACATTAGAGTTACACTAACTTTATATTCATATAAATTGAATGCATTCTACGCTCACTTCACATAAAAAAGATTTGACACTCTTTTGACGCGTGAGAACCCAATGCTTGTGAATTGAGGGCTAAAGAAAACATTTACCAAAATGGAAGGAAAACGGAAAAAGTCGGGATTTCCTTCGGTAGCTCTCTCTCTCTCTCTCTCTCTCGACTTGTCTTCTCAATCATTTCACTCTTTGATTTGACGATACGTTTTCTCAACAGCCTTTTGTGAGCAATTCGTGTCCGCCATAGTCTTATATGCCTTTCCCTAATGTTCTATTAATACTGATAAGAATGCAGTGGATGTGAGGATATGTCGGTTGTATTGCGGCTCAACTCAACTCTTTCCTACTTGTCTTCAATATATAATATTTAACGATATTATATACTGTATATACAGTAATAAGAAAGGGAACGCCACACAAAGCCTGTGCACAACCAGTACGAGAGAGAGAGAGAGAGAGAGAGAGAGAGAGAGCTACCGAAGGAAATCCCGACTTTTTCCGTTTTCCTTCCTTTGCGGAGTCAGACATAGATTCCACACTAAATAGTGGCATGTATTGAGTCAAACATTGAAATATGAATCCAAATTAAATATAAGTTCTGTCTTTTAATTATTACATTAATTGGCTCCACATTTATCACTCGATTTGTAGTTATTTTAATATTATAAATAAATATTTTTTCTAATAATTAGAAACATTTATTGTATAATTATACCACATTTATGGCAATCAATATTCATATTTTGATTTGTTATTTAATTTAATAATTGGCACTGTAACATACTTTGTATATGACAAACAATTATTAGGACTCATTCTTAATGAATATTTATTGTCTTATTTGGTGCAATAAAAAGCCCATAACAGTCATTCTGTGAGTTATTTTATAGCATTAGAGGGAATATTTGAGTGTTAATTGAAAATTTTGTTCAAATTGGCAAACATTGATAAACAGTATTCTATGCTATGTTGTAGTCTATTGTGGATTCTGTGCCCACAATTGATTGCAATGTATGTTGTGTTGAGCGCCAAAAGCAGGGAAAATAAATTAATAGCAAAATCTAGAAATCAAAGCTAAAGCGAAAATGATTGCTTCAAAAAAGGCATTTTGTTTGAACTTTCATTTCACTTTCATCGCAGTCTAACACCAATTGGTTTGTAATTGTAATTACAATTTCTCGCACTTTTCTATTCATTGCTCTCATAAGTGATTGTATTCTTGTGTTGCGTTTACATTCTCACTGTTTTTCCGTACATTTCAATGCATTCAGTGTTTTATATTCTGGATCTCAAAACATCAGACAATTCAATCATTTCATATTTCCTCACTTCCGGTGTCATTAAAGTAAAGTCAAGGCATAACCGGTCACTAACAGGAAACTACTCTTCTGGCTCTCATCTAAACTCTTCATCCGTTTTAATAATTTATTTCTATTTTTGCTTTTGTTTACATATATTTTTTAAATATTTTTCTCATCAAGATATTGATTGCATATTGGAACAGATATCTGGTACATATATATGGTACAAAATGTGGTCACAAGTATAAAATTTCCAAAATCCATTTATTGTATGTTTTCATACAATATCGCCATTTGATTGATAGCCAAGAATTGTCAAAATTTATTGACAAATAAATTGAGTAAAAGTGTCTAAAAAGTTGTTTATAAATTATTGTTTGTGTTGTGAAAGTCTGGGAAAGTCATACAAAAAAGTGTGGCCCAGTTTGGAGTTGAGAGTTAGAGTTGGGTTTTTTTTGTATTCAATGGCACAGACATTGAGAGTGAGAGAGCCGTGAATGCCATGAATTTGTTGGTGAATGTGTTGATCCTTTAACTTCACGCCCAATTCATCTCAATCCTCATATATACCGCCCGCGCACTCAAAGGCAACGGGTTTTCATTTGCATTGGTGTTCAGCCTTTGCTCTTGTATTTAGCAATTTGTTTGTTCATTCCGTTTACACAATAGTTGTGATGCAAATCCGATACAAACGTCAACTGTAAACACCTTGTGCTGCGAGTGCCAGTCCCGCGGACGCAAGCTGTGTGTCATCCCTGGCCTTTGCATATGTAAATGGATCAATATGCAGTGTGACTCTGTAGATCATTATCGGCAAATCATTTTTGCAACTAAAACACAATATTCTCGATAACTGTAATCCATAACTGTTTGGATACATTATGTGTCAATAACAAACTAGCTTATTTTGAGAAAATTTACATAAATTGTCACTGCTTTCATATGGACTATAGTTTTGAACTAAGTTTGAAATATTTGGACTAAATTGCAAAATGTATAATAAGTGAGAAGTCTTTGATTATTGTTTGCTTTGATGTCATATCAATATTCAGTCCATTCTAAGCACTTCTTTTATAGTCACCAAAAGGGAGACTCGAGTAAAATGCCATAATTTATTACATTTGTATGAATTCAATAACTTTTGGACATTGAGTTCTCTGCCCTTTCTATTGTACACAAGAATTGGAAAATAGCTCTCAAATTGTCGATTCGTCCGAACGTTTCTTTAATATTGTCTCAAATGAAATGATAGCTTATAATAGCATATAAAACGCGGGGGAGTTATATATGGAGAGGACAGTACACTATTGACGAGCACTTCGATGCCCTGTTTGTCAATTGAGTAGACGTTAAGTCATTGTTGTTTTCAGAGTATAGTTTTGTATACAAAAAAACTATATTCAAATGACAAATGGATGCAAACACTCGCTGAACAGGAACTTTATAATCGTTGTATTCATTGTCGAGTTTTGTCACAACAAACTACACTATCCTTGCGCTACACCTGCAGCTGCTCTACATATTAGGCGCTTCTCAATACTTCTCATACACTGTACTCTCTTCTTACAAAACTGTTATATAATGTGTTTTTTGGGTATTCACTTAATGATAATCATAAGCCTAACTGTTCAACAGCTCCTGTATTGAATGGTATGACAGAGAATGCGATGAAATGCCGCTTTGGGGCGAATTTGTGTTCACAACCAAAACAAAATTAATAGCACTTCTCTCTCTACTCACTATTCAATACTGAGCACCGATTCTGTACTGAATAACTGAGTGACTGTTAGTGTTGTTGTGTATAAAGATTGGGAAGAGAGGGTTGTAATGGGTTTTGACCCCAAAAGCAATGCCAACAACTAGAATATGACTGCAAATGAGTAGTGAATTAAAGTAGAGATAGAAACGGATTCATTGATACGATTCTGTGTTATTCTGTGTTTCATTTCATTTCATGTATTCACACAAAAGGCACTTTTGATGCGGTTTTATAGCAATACTGATGACTACAATAAGTATTATATAATACGACTAACGATTGCATTGAAAGGACGAGACGAGAGTCACATCAGATTACGCTTAAGTGAATGGGATGTTCATCTCATTGATAATAATGAGTCCACATCTGCAGCCATACACAAGCCATACATAATTTGTTTGCAACCAAAGCCAAACGCGTATCAAATTGTATCTCTAGCCATACCATACATACCATACCATACACTCTATCCATCTCTCGATGAGAACTCAATGTTCAGCCGAAGAGTAGTGAACACAGAGTCGGCTATAAAGCAATCTAATCCATACGACTTAGTCCGCCACGTGTTGGCTCAGAGGGGGCACTGGAGCCACAGACAGACACTGAGCGCGTACACGTGTCTCAAGTGAACGGCTCTTATTTACATACCGTATGTGAGAATATGTGACATCAATGCGACCTCACCGACCATCACAGGCATACAAGTCCTCCCCATCTCTCTCTCTCTCTCTCTCTCTCTCGCTCTCTCTCTCCACTCGCTCTCTCTCTCTCCACTCGCTCTCTCTCTCTCTCTCTCTCCACTCGCTCACTCGCTCTCATTCATTCATCCACTCAATGCAAGCGTTCACCAAATATACTGTATATCTCTTTCCCTCAAAACTTTGGACATTGTTTTCACTTTTGTCTGAATTCTGCTTTTTATGCATAGTTTGGATCCATTCATGCATTTTATAAAGGCTTGTCGTTTGCTTTGCATTAAAACTATAAAATCAAATGAAAACACACGGATTTTATTTTTATTTTATTTTATGGATACAATGATTATGTAAGAGATATACATTTCAATAGTTTTGAGATTATCCCATGAAGTGGATTAAAAAGGATTAATCTTATGAAATACACACAACTATTAATTCTACTCTATATACTCAATTTTTGACAATATTTACATACATACTACTATATATAAAATAAGTTTTCATGAGTTTCTTACATGTATAACTTATTTTGCCTAATAATTAAATTTTGCTAAATTATAAATGATCTATATCAAAAGTTGCTAAAAATTATAATTAAAATTTAAAATTTCTTGGTGAAATATAATGAGGATAAATAAATAAATAAACAAAAAAAAGGTGTATAACATCTATATAATATTTGGTAATTTTTAAATTTTTGTTAATTTAAATAAATTTTGAGTTGTGGCTGAAACAGTGAAACCGGATTTAACACATTTGTGTTGATTTCCTATTTGTTATATAATTTATATGTAATCACTTCACGTCTCCCTGTATTTAATACGTGAACTTTTTTTTTATTAAAATATATTCTAATATATTATTCATAACTCATATTAATATTTCAAAACAAAACAATCCTTTTAATAGTTTTTCATCAAATCATTTAATATTTTTAATGATAGTGATTTACAAAACAGTGCACAGCCTAAATCTAGGGAACTTCCCTAAGGGAAGTATTATGATAGATAAATGTTATTTAATTTTATTAAAAGCAGTATTGTTAATTTATAAATTTTGGTTAGAAATAGTTAGTTATAAATATTTAATATAATGCAAATAATTTAAATGTAATAAATACTAATAAGAAGATTTACATAATACTCACAGTTTTGAATCATAATTAAATAATATTTTACTAGATGAGAAAATATTTCTAAATAAAACACTAAAATATTTGTCGGTTTCAAAATCGATTGAAATGTTTTTTATTGACATTAGATTTTAAATAATAAACTAATGAATGATTATAATGTGTAAAGTGTTAGACAAGAAATGATATATATTTAGCACTCATTTAATTGTTAGGCTTTAGTTAACATAAATATAAGATTAAAAGGTTTGTTAGTTAGTGTTTAACTCATTAGTGAGGAGTTCCCACCCAAAAGGTCGCTGAATATGGTTACGATTGGTGTACTCAATATGCTTCAGATGTGTCTCCATTGGCTCTCTTGTCGATGCAGTGCATCAATGCAAGCCTTTGCCGAATGCGCTCCGACTGTACGGCACAGACATCCAGTGCTTCTCTATTCTGATCGATATTGTGTGAACAACTCTAGTCAACACTATTCTGCAGATATATATAATATATACACACATATAAAGTGGTTACTCATATCATATAAACATCTCATCAACCATTTACTCATCCATGCCTTTAAAGAGAGTTCACTTTTTCCATGTTTTCATGAATTTTTCGCGTTTAATATCCATATCGGCGTTCATTGTCTGCGTTTGTTTCGTTCACAACTAATTATTTGAGTCTTCCGTTTTAGACCAACAGCTTTACAGCTCTTTTTTAAGTCATTCAATTGTATGCAAAGTGTCGACCAGTTTCTGACACTTATTCTTCCATTACTTTCCATTTACTTCACATTATTTTCTTCCATTTAATAATACAATTGTTTTCCAAGTTTTCGTAATACTGTGCAAAACAATCTCCAAACTTTTTTTGTGTGCAAAACTAAATATCGAAAAACTTGTTCGTTTCACATGTGCTCACTATTGAGTGATTTAACAATCAAATTGACTTTATAAAACTCATTGCTTTATATGCAAACAGTTTTTAAGTCGGAAATTACTGGTGACCAGCATTTGGCCGCCACTTCATTCATTTCTGACTCACTATACAATCCGAGCAAAAACTTGTCCACAATGTTATTCACCGGTAAAATCATGATTCAAATCAAGGATTTTACATGAAAACAATCTTTTTTCAATTTTAAAATTGTATTAAATTTTTATGAAATATAATAATTTGTGTTCATTTTTATAGAGACCTCATATAAAGGCGCGTGGGGTTCGCCATCTCCTTCTCCAAGTCAAGGTTTGTTTTCTATTTAATATAATTATTTCAATTTATTTATATGTTTTATGTACTCTTTGTGTTAACAACTATTTGTTCAGTAATTTTCATGCTATACATAATATTAACTAAAAATAGTGTTTTGTAATCGAAAAGCTATTGTAAGCAAAAGCGAGTTGAGTCGTGGATCGCAACTAATTTCCGCGTAAATCCAATTTGCAATACGGACTCAAATTTATATACAAATGAATAGATGTAGTGCTGTATAGAAGCCTAAAATCACATTTGGAAAGGCATTGAAAGTGAAGGCATAGGCAAAAAACTGTCTTCAAAAGCCTTTTATTATGACATTCGCTCATAAAATCTAATTAAACATATAAAAACTCATCAGTAATCAAGCAATTCAATTTTTAATAAATTATTATTTTTATTTGACATCAATTCAAATATTTTCTATGAAAAAAATTTTAGTTTATAGATCAATTGTTTGAATTAAAAATTTTGAAAATATTAATATTTAAACTTATAAGTTTATAAGTATGTCTATATTAATATTGCGGCAAATATTATAGTTAATAGTTGTGTTTATCTAAAATTTTAATAATATATTAATATTGATTAGAAATCACGATTTAGATTAACATTCAATGAACTGACAATTTGAAATATTTAATTCATTTTATTCTCACACTTTCTCTCTCTCTCTCTCTCTCTCTCTCTCTCGCAATTTTCAATAGCATATAAATTACATATCAATGCAATACAATAGGGCTCAGGTGTTCAGTTAAATAAATAGTTTTAACCTCTCGCACTGAATGCCTAACATTTCCCATAGTTATGGTCCATAACTTTTCGTGAGAATCTCATTCACGCATTTGATTGCTAAACTAATTATTAAAAGACCATATTTAAAGCACTCGTAATAAAGTGCAGTATATTTTCAACAAATTTATCAAATGAATAGCAATAGTAATGTCGATCCGTCCAAACAGTGTGTCGACTCAATCGCTCACTTTTTCTCAACAATCAATTTTGTTGACTTTTCAACTTAGCATCTGACACACCCAACAACCCAACCGCCCCATAGCCCCTCCAACTAACTGTACTCTAGATTCTGTAGCAAAAAAAATATAATACACTTCCACTGTTGCACAGCGTTTAGAATATTATAAATGAGTGCTAAAAAACAAGACTAATATCGTGTCACTATGAATGCTGTACTGAATGTTGAGTCTTACCATTTGGTTTGACGTCTATTCTCTCCATTCTTTGGATAAAAAGAGTGCAAAATATGTTTTGTTGCCTTACCAGTGGGTTAGCACGCGATTCAGGCATACATATTGAGCGCCGTTACGCTGCCAGTGCCGGCAACTCAGGTGACAAATTGAGTCCCTGTGCTCTACCCCAACACCCCATTTATCGTAGGCGGTGGGACTCAGTGCGCTCTACGCGTGCATTCATTTGTTATAATAGTTGTATACATTTTGGGATATATTTATACAGTACAATTTTTCTCCATTCATACCATTATTTTTTTCCTACTGAAACAGTTTTGAGCACAAGAGTCACGAATCAACTCCTATTCAAATAAAACACAAAAAAATTTTAGAGTCAAACTTTTTTATGTGTTGTGTTTCATAGCAAACAAATCATATTTTATAAAATAACTTATTTTTTAGTGTTTTTATGATTTTTATACATAAAGTGAAATATAGTATAAGTTGTTGTGAGAGCGCCGGAGTGTGAGTGAGTGAGTGAGTGAGTGAGAGAGAGAGAGAGATATGGGAAATGTTAGGCATTCAGTGCGAGAGGTTAAAACTATTTATTTAACTGAACACCTGAGCCCTATTGTATTGCATTGATATGTAATTTATATGCTATTGAAAATTGCGAGAGAGAGAGAGAGAGGACTGGTATTTATTGTTTGATAATTCAATAAAATTTGTTCAGACATTAGCGAGAATTTGCATTTAGGCGTTGATAGCAAGACATTAACGCATTTTTAGCCACAAATAGCGTGCCTGAAGTCCAACAAATGATTGGGACTAATATTTTGAAATATAATTCATTGGAAAATATTGTACTTAAACAAAGTGTAGTGATGTCTGCGGTAGTGGTGGTAGTAGTTATGCAATGCTATCACAATGTTTAATGCACTTCACTTTTACGCCAGATGTAAGTGACTAAAAGCCAATGAATATTGCAGTGTATTTGTAGTGCATTTGCCGTCATTTGGCTTATTTGAAGCCCACAATGATGTGCTCTATTGCGTGGAACCACTTTCTAATGCATTCACTACATAATAGGCCACTATTGCCACTATTGGCACGAATACCACACTATGAACATTGTATGAACGCTAACCATCTAATGGATAAGGGAGTGAAGCACTACTTTATATTACACAGAATTACAACATATTTATTATACGATTACTACTTCTATACTATTTCTGCATAAATATATGTCTCAATAATTTTATGTTATTCATTCTAAGAGATTCACAAATCATTTATTAATTTTTTAATGCAAACATCAGTTTTATATATAAATTGAGAGTATTTTAGGAATCTTTATCTTAAGTAATGTTTTGATGAGTCATAGAATATCTAAGTATTTAAAATTGAATTTCTATACAATTCTTATGAATAATTTGAATGAAAGATTGGTTTTTATAGTATATTTGCATATCATTACAGGCTATCATCACAATGCCATCAGCGGTATGACAAAGCCATCGGTATTGGAGCCGCACAGTCACTCTCATTTGCGAAACATGCAGGGTATGTATGCAATCATCCAATCACTCCCCACTTTTCTTTACTCAATTTGTTAGACATTCAGAGCTATCCGTTTTGATGAAACAGAGAGTGAGATGTCATAAGAGACACAGAAATCTCTCTCTTTTTCTGATATTTATATTCTGGTCTCGCATTAAATGGACTCAAACTAACGCATCATTGATTCCTAACTGTTGTAGTGATCATGTACTGCACCAGTAGTTGGGGTTTTAAACCTGAATATTATGTACAGTTCTATATGTTAAACATGAGATCGCTTTATACCAAATGACCCCTCTTATTCTGTGTTTGCACTCTCGTGATTCAAAATTGAAATCATTTCAACCAAAATCAAGATATTTTATTTGCTGTCCTTTTGTTATATTCTTAGAAACAGTCACTCAACACACAATTCACAAGAATATTCTTACAATTTATAGGTTTATAGGTTTATCAGATAAATACAAGTATTTTCAAAAGATGGGGATTAATATGAGATTTAAAAGAATCTCTTGTTTTTACAAAACACAATATAAATGGAAATTTGGTTTTATTTAAAGAATCAGATGATTAGTATTAGTCCGTATAGAGTATGCGGTGGTTTTGAGAACATATTTGAAGTGAAAGTTTATATTTCAAAAGAGTGTCGTATAATCTAATCTGTAATATCATACGAGACATAATCCTATTAGATATGATGTGACAGTGATATACATAGTATTTCGTGAGTGATAACTCTCACACGACATCCACTGATAAATCATTGCTTTTTGTGGAGATTGAAAATTGAGTCCAAACAGTGAATAGACAAACGAGAGAGAGAGAGAGAGAGGGAGGGAGGGAGAGAGAGAGGCAATGAAATAGGAGTTCATAGCCGTTAAAATGACAATAAGAGTACATATTGAGAGCGAATTTTCAATAGGAGGACAATAACGAAATAATATCTTTATATTAATACTTATGTTTGGCATAAATTATTGTACATATATTGGAGACTCAATTCGCGCCTCCCTTTCAAACCAAAATGACTGGAAGCCAAGCAAATGACAAAAACTGACTTAAATTTATCGTATTTAAAAAAAGTGCATTAAATATATGCCAAAAATTGGTAGTAATGCCATAAATAGCTAAATGCATTACCATTTATGCAATAAAGTTTGCATTTATATTAATTTGTTTTCCTTATGAATGAATGAAAAATCAAATAAGAGATGCGTTTAAGTGAGCAGTCATTGAGTGGAGCGAAGTGTTGGTCCAATGTTTAACTTTAGAGATCAATTGAGTAGTCCTACAAATTCCGGACAGGAATTGTTGAATTCTTCGTCAATTTCCTTCTCTCATCCGGACGTTTACTTCTTTGCTTTGCTTTCGCTATGCTTTCAATATATGCCGTCGTTTACGACAACACATTAACCAATTGTGTTAACAATTTTTGATAACTTCATAACTATACGGATGTTTCCATTTCACTCAAATATAACTAATAAAATAATATACTGTATATTTTTGTGACTCTTAATAGTTTAGAAATAGAAATAAAAACACACGTTTGAAATGACTTTTAAAGCGAAAGTCAATGTAATTAAATTTTGTTTAATTTTAAGTTATAATTTATAAATATTACCAAAACGTTCATATTACATGATATAAAAATAGAAATACCTATAATTGTCGGCAATATCTCACAAAAATATTATGATTTGTCGATATTTCAAAGCTTATGCAAACACATAAAAACAGAGCAAATATTGTTTGGCATATAAAGCAAACAAAGTCTGACCGCAAACTTTGGATGTGTTAGACTTGATATGACTATATGTGCGAAATTGTATATTAGGTTATTATGAAGAGATGAGTTAACCTCTGATTACTTAGAGAGTAGTGTTGTCTCAAAGCCTCAATTTGTTGGTTAGACTTATAGCTAATGTTTACACAATCATAAGCATCGGCTGTTTTCTCTGCATTAGAAATCATATTGTATTACTAATGGAGGCTTTCTATGAAAAGTGCATCACGTTTTAGACATGGGCTTTAAATACATAAAATGTATTTATATCTGTTTATATGTATTTCAGATCCCTATACGATGTTTGGAGCGACGAGTCAACGACTGGCCACTTCAGGTACCATACATTCACTGCTATCTCATATCACAGTCACTCGAATCTAAATATCATAAAATCCATAAAACTATATCAAACCCTGTGTTCCGTTAGCTATGGTCGCAATTACTGTGTTTTTATAATTAAAGAAATGCAATCCGAGCCCTCGCTCTCACCCTCAATGATAGACAGCGCAGTCATACAGAGCGGTAGTGCAGTGGCAGGGCACCAGTAGTCTAGCACCAGTAGTCTGCGAGCTGCTATTGTTCAGTCAGAATATCATTTATGTGATTACTTTTTATAAAACTTTTTTACGTGATTCCATGACTTTCACTCATTTATTGTTTAGTTCATTCAATGCATTTATTATACTTTATGCCATAACTACTATTTGTGTCGCTTTTGTGTCAAACCATTAATAGCCAATTCATTATTTCTATTCATAGATTAGTATTTTTGCTTAATTTTCTCATTCTTCTCAATGATTGCGATTTTTGAATGTCATTATTGGCTCTCATTTTTGGCGTTTCTTTTAATAAATAATAAATTATACTTAAACTAAAAGTTATTAAGTTTTGATTTTCAATTAATTATTCATTTTCTATTAACTTATTGCTGTCCAGTAATAATTAATGGACAACTAATAAGAATAACTAGTAAAATAAAAATTATTTTTTTCTAATCAAAATCCAATTATGAAATGTTATATAAAACTAATGTGAATGTGTTGTGTGTGTGATGTAGGCTCAGGTCAGATCCAATTGTGGCAATTTCTTCTGGAACTCCTGTCAGAGAGCGGTAACGCCAACTGTATTACATGGGAGGGAACTAATGGAGAATTCAAATTAACAGACCCCGGTACGTTTTTATCGCCCAAAATGCTAATTAACTCGCAGATAATGAACGCAATTAAGAGTTTTGAGGAGTAATTGGTGTTTGTATTGCAGATGAAGTGGCGCGAAGATGGGGTGAGAGGAAGAGTAAGCCAAACATGAACTACGATAAGCTGAGTCGAGCGCTGCGTTATTACTACGATAAGAACATAATGACCAAGGTGCACGGCAAACGATACGCGTATAAATTTGATTTTCAGGTTTGTTTTGTTCGCCAATTGGTGTTTGCATACGAAATGTTGTGTCGAAACCTAATTATAGGCTCAAAACGGTTGACTCGCATATGATTGCACTCGTAGTCGCGTTAGTTATGCTAATTATGTGCCCTCTCTATCACACACAGGGCTTAGCGCAGGCGACGCAACCCACGGCTGCCGACCCCTCCGCATACAAAGCCGCCTATCAATCGGCCGACCTATTCATGCACCCGCCGCCCGGCTATCCCCACCACCCGGGCTCCGCAGCCAAACACCTCAACTTTGCGGCGGCCGTTCACAGCGGGATGTCTCCGTCGGCTTCTGGTAGTATATTCCCGTCGGCCTCCTCTTACTGGACGAGTCCGGGCGCGGCCGCCAACCTCTACTCGAATATAGCTGCGGCGTCGGCCACCCACCACTCGATGCCCCACCACCACCACCCCTCCCACGTCACCTCACATATTGGCTCCTATGCTCACTACGCGTGACAATGAATCTGACCATCACTTTGACTCTTGTCATCAAATTGCCACCAAAACTCAATTCATGAAAGGTATGGCCCGTAAGGACTCAGCGGTTGATTAGTTTTACTATACATTTGTTTTATATATGATAAACAATCTTCTGTTTTATGAAACGGTTTTCAATGTCTAACAAACAGATCTCTAACTGTAAATGCAATCTATTATTACAACAAATGCATTGAATTTATATTAATAACTAATATATCGTACTGTATAATGAAGACGTTATATAAATACTAGTCTATAAATTTGCCAAACATTATATGAATTCAGTGATAAATAATTTCTTTTTCAATTTACTTAAATGAGACAAATGTAAAATAACGTCCAAGTACCTCTTATTTATGAATATTACAATCAAAATAATAGTAATGATCTAGACTTAATTTGCCATAATTTACCATTAATTGTAAGTGAAAACAGTTTGTGACATATTGTCAATTGATTGTTAAAAAGTCCTTTATTTATGAATTATTAAGAATGGAGATCTTCATAATGTATACAACAAAACAGAGATTATTGTTATTCAAAGACAATAGAAATATAAACCTAAATATATATGTTATCCAAAAACAAAACACTAGTCATTCTATTCCTTATACTTACAACTATTCCATGATAATCCTAAATCCATTGTATAATTATTTAACAAGTTAATATTATTGTCAATTAAATTTCATAAATGTTAATTTAGATGAATTTATTCATTGAATATAATGTACAGTAAAAATAAGATATAAATAAAGACTTATAGTTAGCTCAAAAAGTGCACCGATTTTCATTCCTATAGTTATTACAGCGAACAGAGCGTTACATTAAGTCATGTATTCATTGGTCTCTTATATCCATTCACTTAAAGCGATGTGTGTTTAAAGAGTAACTCAAACTAAATAATAGTTAAAGTAATGACTTGAGGATGGTTGAGGGCTACAGTATATTGAGTCGAAAACAAGCAATTATTTTAAAAATTTCGTATTCAATGAAATGTAAATACGGAGTCTATTAGCGAATAAGCATTTACTGATGCCATTCAAATAGAGTAAGTCATACACATCCAAGTGCTGCGAGCGGTAGTCTCTCCTTTTGCTTAAAGTTACAATGATATTCAAATCATAAGAATTAAACCAGTTTAAAATTTGAAATTAACTCTTAGATACAGAGATTCAATATTAAAATTGATTTGTATTCAAAATACTTTTCTTTTTTTTGAATGTTTTGATTTTTAAGCTAAATACTGTATTTTACAAAACAAGTCAAACAAAGGGTATCCGACTCTATGTTGACACAATTCCTCTTATTTTCTCATTTAAATGAATATTTGATTTTGGGCTCACATTATTGCCATTCATTTGCATTTCCAGTCGGATATCGATTAGTGACTCAAATAATCATTGGCTGTAATTAACAGTAGATTTACTTAATTTCAATATTCTTTAGCCATTCATTCAATTTAATCTGTTTCTAAATATACAACCAAATTAATTAAGTTTTAGAAATAAAATAAATACCAAAAGTAAGTAACAATCAGACATTTTCTACTCATTCTTTGCAATGATTATTTATTTAAACACAGGATTGGCATTAATGTTATTCAATACTGCGAAACTATTATATTTATTAAATGGACACACATTTCACGTAAAACAGTCTTTTGGGAGCAATTATTATTTCAATCTCTCAATCGGTTGAGTAAACATGGGTTTAGTAACAGAGACTGACAACTGAATCAAAACCATTCTCTCGTTTTGGGAATAACTCAATAATTGAATAAAAATGTGTTCATAACTTTTATTTTGATGTTTAGTTATTTTGTTGCGAATAGTTAGTGCGAGAAAACATTTTTGGTTCAAATGTATAACAAATCTATATTTTAAACTAAAGGATAATAGAGTAGAAGATTGAAAGTGAGCGTTCAATACAATGAATTGTTATCTCTTTCCCCATTTGTAGTCCCTATGAGTCTCTCAGTGCCTCTCATTCTCTGCCAAATATCAATCAAAGTGGAGATGCATTGAAGCGCAATGTTCTGTAGCGTAACGATTAACGAGAGGCTCAGTCAGGAGAGCCTACATAACACATACATTACATTGTATGCTATGATCACCAACAATGGCTCCACAAAGAGAGACATGAGAGAGAGAGAGAGAGAGGGAGGGAGAGAGAGGGAGAGAGAGAGGGAGAGAGAGAGAGGGAGAGAGAGAGAGAGAGAGAGATGACTAAATGAGAGTTTGTGTTCTTTCAGTTCTCATCTCTAGTGTAATGTCTAATGCATTAGATGTAAGAGTAGTGGCAGTGATGTTGTGATCGACTCTCAGTCACAGAGAGGAGAGGGAGGAGAGAGTAATGCAATATTGGAATCATTTGACTATAAGGCTGACAATGAATGCTTTAATGGACACCATATACACAGTATATGAAGTGAATGAATCTGATTTGTAGTGAAATGAAGTCATATTTAATGATAAGGAGCATATGTAGGAGCGATCATATCGTGATTGCCTTCATATTCTATATGTTTATATCAATATCAACACGAAGGCCAATATGCCATCCCTTATGAGTGAGAGCCTCCGGAGATTTTGAATGCCTTATCAAAACGTTAAAATTGTCGTCACTTTATCTGACTCTATATCTGTGACAGAGTTTATGAGCACTTCATATAACTTATGTTTCGTTTATTTAAAAAAATTAATTCATTTCAATGAAAATGAAAGGCTAGAGAAAATAGTCTACCATTTCATGCAATCTTTGTTTTAGTGTTTTATAGTATTTTTTCATACAAAGAACATAAAGAATAGTAAATGTAATAAGAATTTGAGTCATTATGTGAATTAATGAATAGATTGTGAATTTGAGTGCAATTTCTTTCGGTTGTCATCGTTTGTGAGGACGAGATGTTTATTGTGAAGAGCAGTACTTCTCAAATATTAAGTCTTCGCCTCTTTTTATCATAAGACTTGTCGCTAACTTGTAGGCTATTGTTTCCTGTTTCCGGACCGGCACTGGGGCTTCAGTGGAGAAGACATTATTTTGCTTTCCTTTTAATATATGAACACATCTATAGAATTAAAAAATGTCACAAACGTTCAGTTTATGATGAATCGCCTCAACCCGAGTGTCGTTTTGTTTTTCGATATTTCTCTCTCCATTCGCTAATAAAATATATGTTAGATTTCTATTGTCTCGCACTGTCGGGCACTGGTATGTATGCTATGCCCCCAAAACATTTTCAACACCATTTGACGAACCAAAAAACAAATGTAAACACATTTTATTACAAAATGGACTTTAAGTAACTATTTTTCGCACAAAAGACAACTGAAAAACATTTATATGAAAAAATCTGAAACCATATGACCCGTAAACCAGTGCAACAATACATAGGAAGTTACACTTCATGTGAGGCTTTATATGAAAAAAGTTAACTCCAAAAGAAAACTTTCACAACAAAACACAAATCAAATTCTTGTTTTATTACCATATGTTGAGTCATTATCGCCAAATAAAAATACATTAATAAACTACTTGTGGTTATATTCTAGCATTTATACAGAATATGGATATCGCATATGTAATTAATTCTTATATTTGAGTCTAAATTATTATAATGTCTTGTAATGGAGATGTTTTCATATCATTAAACACTCCTTTCATTTCTCAACCAAATGCATGATTTTAAATAGAAATGTATTATAGGTTTTGTAAAGAAGAAAAAAGTTTAGAGAATTGGGTAGTGATTGACAAAGAATTCAATATAAGCCTTATTGATGACATTTATTCAGTTGAAGTCATTTTTGGGTGATTTTTGGCATAAAAATTCAAAGTTGCAAAAAGTTAAGCAAATCACGCGTCGAAGAACATTAGCTTTTGCTATAATACTTGTAATGCGAATGGAGTACAACCAGTGCTGGTGATAGCAGTGCTGACACTTTGAAATATTAGGCCAATAACTAAAAAGAGAGACAGTTTTTACATTCAATAAATTAGAGAAATGCAAATTCAATTGAATGACACGACTCCACACTTTATTTCTATTCAGTTCCTCTGCTCCCAGTGCTTCATCACTCATGCATTTACTATAAAATCCCAAATGAATTTTCAAGTCCTGTTTACAATTTGCTGACTTCTAAGACATTTTGGGAGCAGTTTTTTGTCTGCACTCACTGTTAGGACTTTTTTGATGAATTTATGTCCTATTGATGAGTGAATGTGGACATGGATGTAGTGTATGGAGCGGTCAATTAAGTTCATCACGACTCCAATTGTTGTGATTGGAAATACGAAATGCAAAGTTTGTTACCATTTCCACCACATCTCTCCAATACATTAGTCCTGATTTGTTCTTTGATTTCCCTAAAGGCCACACTTTTTATTCGCTACTAATTTCATCAATCCTTGTATTTATTTATTTTCCCATCAAACGAATGACTCTCTCCTATAATACATCTCAAGCTTTTTTGTACAGAAAAGGAAAAAAGTTTGCTTTTAACTAAAACCGATATACAGTATCATCTAAAATATAACAAGAAAAACACAATTTATATGATTTTCAATATATTCTATTTCAAATAACAAACATACAGTGCAAAACTCATATTCAGTTTTAATAATATACTGTATATATATATATATACAGTATATATAAGGTTTTTGTAAACCTCTCTGTGAGCCAATACCAGCAATAGTTATCGATTGTGTAAATATGCGGTCATAAGAGGCAAGCATTTGGTTTCACAGCATCTCATCGTTGGAGAGGTATTAGAGTTGTGCTGCGAATGACACTTCACTGCACGGCTCACATCACACCCGCTTCGGCCACAACTGAACTCAAGTTTCTTGAGATGTCTGTCAGTGCCGTATATTTGCGGTAATTCTCACTCTATTTGCTCTGTTGTTGAACTGCTTTCATACACCACTTTAAACCTATAAATGCATATCAATTTAATTGTCCTAAAAGTTTGTTTCACTTATAAATGATTTTATTATTTAATAACCTACAAAACCATAATTTTCGTTTGTGTCCAATGGAAACAAATTAGATATTAATGCTATAATGTTATGCCAAAACTTCACATAAAAATATTTGGAAAAACTTTAAAATATCTGAACTCAAACTCGAAATGATCAAAATGAAATGGTACTATTATT